GTCTGTAAAGAACCAAGAACAGAAGGGCTTTTTAATATAAGAAGCCTCCCATAAGTGTAGACCCTCAAGGATCATAATTTTTGCACATCTCCTAAAATTCATACCCAATTGAAGTACCTTAAGGACAGTGCTTATAGGCTACTTCATATCTTCCACCTAAATCAATGGTAGAAATGGAAAACAATCAGATTGTCCATTTTCCTGAGTTGTGAGCCCAATAAGAGCACAACTTGCCTTCTTTGGTTAAATTGTCAAACAGTCGAATGTTGTAAGTACTGTAGATCCCTGTGCCTCTCACCCCATTTTAAAGGTGAGAAATGTTGAGGTCTTGAGAATTAAATGGTTTATTCCAAATCACATAGGTGACAGTTAAACTCCATAGCATATACTGTACCAGACGCCCTCGAAGAGGCCTGTGAGCCAGAATCCCCTGGCAGCAACTATAGAAAAATCCCCAGATCACCAAGGCTCTCCCATATATTTCAATGCAATCAGACCAAAAATTTGGGTAGCTCTACTCTAAAACACTACATGATATTTCCTCCTCAGTGTCTGTTAAATGAGTGAGTGGTGTCTGTTATTCTTCCATTAACAATCTATTCCTGCATTAAGTCTTGCTCTTGATCAGCAATCCTCCGTTTAAAATGCAAATAATCCTGGGAGTCTTTCCATCGTCTCTAATATCTTCATCAGAGATGTCATAACAGAGAACTCAACCACTGTGACTGTAGGAGGTGCCTGATATAATGGAGTAGGGCCACAAGGATAGAATAAAATTCTATTTGATACCTCATAATGTTGTCAGAGGCTTCCACTGCCTGACCCTGTAGCTATGAGAAGCTGACCTTAAGGCACTTATGCAAAAGCAGCACAAGTGTCCATCAGGTGATGAGTGGATATATAACTTACAGTTTGTCCACACAAGGGAATATTATTCAACAGTAAAAATAAATGAAGCGCCAGATGTGGTGGTGCCCACCTGTAATCCTAGCAACTTGGGAAGCTGATCAGGAGGATGGAAAGTTCCAGGCCAGCTTCACCTTAGCAAGGCCCTTAAAACCAAAAAATAAAAAGAGCTGGATATGTAGCTCAGTCAGTGGTAAAGCACTCCTGGGTTCAATCCCCAGTCATCCCCGCCCCCCAAAAAAAATCCTATAAAAAGAAATGAGGTATCAATATATGCTGAAACATGGATGAATCTTGAAAAAATTACACTAAAGTAAGAGGTCAAATGAATAGATTATAAGAGCCTTAACCTAATCAGAACCTTAATCCAGTCGAATGGATTAACTAGGTGGTGACTATAGTCAGCTGTACATGCAGAAAATAATATATGTTGTATGATTCTGTTTATACAAAATATTCAGAATGGGCAAATCCATACGAAAAGTAGATTAGCAGTTGACAGGGAGAGCTAAGAGTTTGGGAGAGGATCTCAAAATGACTACTAACCAATACAGGTTTTCTTTTAGGAATGATGAAAATGTTCTAAAATTGAATGTGATGATGTTTGTACAACCTTGTTAATATATACTAAAAACAACTGAATTACGCACTTTATGGGGAGTGAGTGACTTTTATCTCATAAAAAGCTACACCTTTAATAGTGAATTTAGAGAATGAAATTGCCAGGCACCCATCACCACTAGAGAAGATGTTAGAAAGTTCTATGCCATCAGAGGGGTGCATAGGACCATGGTTGTGTAGTTTCCCACCTTAAGATATCCATAAGCTGATTCTAATTTCCCATGTTGCTTTTTTCTCCCCTGGACATTTATCTAATTCTTTTACCCATTCTTTTTCTTCAGCTTTTATGGGATTACGTTCCTACTTCCCAGATTAAAAATACATGAAATCAGGTGCATAGTATTATAATTCTTTGGAAAGGATTATAAATGAAAATGCAAAATGTATCTATTGTACCTGTTGCTTTGCAGATTTTGGCTACAAGCAGTTCCTGAAAGTTTGCACTTATTATGTGTAACAGGAGAGAATGTTCAAACCAGTAACAATGTTTAAAAAGAGAACATAATTCCATCAACGTCTCCTTCTGTTAAAGTTGCCACTCTTTTTCATCCCTTCAGGCCCATGTCACCTCTCACATGGATTGTTGAAGCAGTCTGATTTCCTCCCTCCCATCTCTCCCTCTTTAGTAACTAATCTTTCATAACCACACAGTTTACATTTCTAAAACACAATATAAAGGAGTGCGAACCAGAGGATCGGAGTTTGGGTCCCAGTCTCAGACAGCCTGGAGTCACACCTGAGCTTTGCTGCCAACACTTGATCGGCTTAAGCAAATGATCTAATCTTTCTGTGAATGATTTGTCCCTGAATTTTTGTGAGAATTAAATGAGAGTAGAATATTCAGTGCCTAGTCCAAATGATGGACTGCTTGATGGGCGCAGAGTAAACTTGAGAGAATGAGGTTTTAGGAGACTAGTAGTAAAGGTAGTGCATTATTTATGTTAGATTTGAGATGCCAATCAGATACTCAAGTCAGTCACCATCAGCTCTTATTTTTATTATTACACTTAATAGTCAAATATTGCCATTTCCTCACTTCTGCCTAATCAAATCCAAACTCCCTGGTTATCATGCAAGAAACTTTGAAATCTGACCTCAATCTATCTTCTCCCAGTTCACAGCCTTTTCTGAATACATCAGGCAAATCTGTGGCTCCAGGTTTTTGATCAAGTTCTTTCCTCTGCTGCTCCGTATTTTCCATTTTAAAATTCCCACTCTTCATTCAGGAAAGCCATGTGAAAAAATAGGAAGTTTTTTTTTTTTTTTTTTTTTTTTCCCGAGCTCCTTTTTCTTGTGTCCCAACAGCACTTTAGGGGTTTGAGAGAAGTTGGATAAAGAGAATTATTTGAAAGGTAAAGCAGAAAGAACATCCCAGAAGACTGGTTAAGAAAAATAAGGAATGAAGTAGAAGAAAATAATGACTTCCAAGCTTGTGTCAGGAACAACATGTGACAGTCCCATCTAATGATACGAGGAAACTTGGGAGAATGTGGTTTTAGGAGACTAGTTATAAAGGTATTGCATTATTTATGTTAGATTTGAGATGCCAATCAGATACTCAAGTGAATTTGGTAAATAAACAGTGGAATCTACATACAAGTGTGGGGTTTGAAGAATGCTTAGAGCTAATGATATAAAACTGGGAGTCACAGGAGAGGCCAAGAGATATGCTCTGGAGAAGCCTGGGGAACTCCAACCAAAGGAAAAGAAACCAGTTAGCCCTGATTATACTTAAAAGCAATACCTACTTGGTTTTAAGTATAATCATACTTGTCTTTATGCCTAGTAGTGTTCAATAATACTTGCTTAATTCATTTTACTACTAACTGCAAGGAAAGGTTGCTTTTTAGAAGTCTTCCAGCCCTCCAGTTTAATGATCAGGCAAGATTTGCAAAAGCATGAAGGCCAACTCTGGTATCTAGCCCAGGATTGAACATGGTGGACAGTTTAATGACTGTTGTAGACAGGCTCACCCTCCCTGACTCTCCCTATTCCCATGTCTCCCAGACACACTCCAAAGGGCACAGCTCCAGTGCTCATGAGGGATGGCACACAGCCCAGGATCCCAGCACAGCCCTCAAAGATAAATACAAGACCCTTGAGAGCATAGCAGCTGCTGGAACACATGGATGATCAGCAGAACACCCCCCCACACACACACACACTTAGGTGTGGACTGAAGCACCTCAATGTACAAAACACTCTGTTTTTTGAACAACTACATGGGAACCTTTCTCCAGTATCTTGTCATGTTTTTCCCATTGACATTAACCATTCAATCCTCATAATTTTCTGACTTCCCCTTGTTTTTATGAAGTATTTAAGGATTTGTAACAGGCATTTTGATTAGGCCTTCATCACCCATCACCTAGATAAATTCAATAGCATTCTGGCTGATCTCCCTGCCTCCATTCTCTCCCCACTCTGCCATCAGAACACCACACCAAATCTCTTTCCTGTTAGTACTCCCGCCTGCCAGGAACTTCAACAGCTTCTCCACTGCTGACTGAAAAAATATTACAAAATTCTAAGCTTAGAATTCTAGGTCTCTCACCGTCTTTCACTTCCAGGAACCTTTCCATCACTAGTGCCCACCAGCCATATCCATATCCAGACTGTAATTAACAAGACCCCATCTTTTCCATACAATAATCACTGTGGCTTGTCTCTGCTGTGTCTCAGCATTGGCCATTTTCTCAGCCCAGGATGCCTTATCTGTTTCTCCATCTGTTGATGCTGCACCACTCCTTAAGTACCAGGACAATGGTGCCTTCCTCAGGAGCTTTTCTTATTCACCCCAGGCAGAAGGAAAAGTGCTTGTCTATACTTCTGAAACAATTGGTGTGTATTTCTTTAAAACTCTAATCAGAGAGATGATAGTGGTGATGATGGAGAGGATTGTTCTTCTGCCTTGGAACTCTTATTTTATTTTATTTTATTTTATTTCAACATACAGCACCTAGCAAAGCATATGGAAGAAACTCTTAACAGTATTAACTGAATGTCTGCGTAATTCATTTAACCCACTAATCCATTAATACTTAATCCCCACATCTTGTCATTTAGCCATTATATAATCTTCAGTCTACATACATTGGATTTTCTTAAAATTCGAGTTCTGAGCGTTTGGAGACGGCCACATAGGTGACTTTCCTTAAGACCCATGTTCCTTAATGGCCAGAGTATCAGTGACTGACCTGGAAGGGATAAGGATAGAAGAGTGGGCAGATTCAGGAAGAGCACTCCAAGATGGGAAGGTCATATGCTTACAGCTGGAGGAGCAGGGCGTTGACATGATCAGACTAGGCTTTTGGAGAAACCACTGTAAATTCAGTGCAAAGTGTGGAGGAGATGCCAGAGACAGGAGAGCCTCAGGAGGAGGCAGCTGCAGGCCACTCAGGCAGAGAGTGTACCTCCTGGCTCCAAGCCCAGGTCTTTGCCGAACAGTCACTGCTGTCTCTGCCTCTTCTCAGGGCTTCCAGGGCAGATGTGGACACCTTACCAAGGAGCGCCATGCAGTAGATGCTGAAACCACGCACCCCAGGCTAAGAATCAGTAACATGGCAGCACCTGCTTGAAAGGATTACAAACCAACAGACTCCACTTAGAAAGGAACAATGTCCAAGAAAGGGCGAAATAAGGGCGAGAAGCCCGAGGCACTCATTGTCGCCCTTCAAGCTGCCAATGAAGACCTCAGGACCAAGCTCACAGACATTCAGATAGAGCTGCATCAAGAGAAGTCCAAGGTGAGTGAGGGCTTCCTGTGGCCGTGGCCTTGGGAAAGTCCTGGCCACATTCACCTGCAGCAAACACAGCTCTGTCTGCTGGCCCACCCCAGTATGTCCTTTGCCAGAGGGCAACAACCTCTGTATGTATGGTGGTTCTCTGGTTTAAAAATGGTGGAGGGACAGAGAGTGAGATGAGCATGCTCACTAGATGCAGCTCTACCTCCTCAGGAATCTGGTGCCGGAAAGGAGACAGACATACTGATACAAGGACAGCCGCCACCGTTTCCTAACGCTTTATTGTACAACCCTGGATGAGTTCCACCCTTGCTCTCTGTTGAGTATTCCTTCCACAGCATTCAGAGCAGTCCATGGATAATACATCATTTTATTTCACTCTACTGCCCAGTATATTCCAGTGGCTTCCTAACCCTCTTTCAGTCGAAGGATTTCCCTTACCATTACCAGATATGACCTCTAGCCCCCTCTTTGATTCATCCCACACTACCTACCTTCTCTTGATCATGCTGCTCTAGTCTCTTTGCTGGATCAAGAGAGATATGCTAAGCACATTCAGAGTCTTTGCCCTTGTTCTTCCCCTGGTCAGAAATTTGCTCCTTTCCTCACCTCCCTCTGTGGCTGTTCAAGCTTCACTCATCTGACCACACAGATCATTTCCCCAGTGCTGAGGACTCCCTGTGGACTATTCTTTTCATTCTCATTTCATGCTAATTTATATATTTATTTATGTATTTACTTCCTTAGTGCTCATCTTTCCCCACTCAAGTGTCATCTCTACGAAAGGAGAGACTTGGCTTACTTGGTATCTCTAGAGCCTAGATAATATCCATAATTTAAAAATCAACATCTGTTTATTGAATAAAAGGTGATTTCTTCTTTACAACTCAGTTTCTTCATCAGTAAAGTGCTGCCACTATCTCCTGGGGCTGTGAGGAGGTATAAGATAGGTACATAAAAGTACCTGTGAGGATTAAGTAAGAAAATTGTTCACAAGTGCCCAGAGAGCTGCAAACACTCAAAAACTTATTAATATTACTGTTCTTTATAATATTCTCTGAACTTCAGTCAGTTGCTAACCAAATTTAGGAAAATCTTGTTACTTCTCTGAATCTTATCAGTTAAATGGATAAGTTAGCACATATCTCACCAGGGCAGAGTCAATATAAAGCAGTTGTGTCCAAGAAAGCATTTTGAAGTATCCATTATGTACTAAGACGTTTTTGATCCCTGTCATCTGGAGACAACCATATCGGTGTCAAGAAGTCTCATTCAGATAACTGTGTAGTAAGAAAGCAGTCTAGATCAGCAGCACTAGGTCACAAAGCAATGAATGTTCTGATTCCATTTTGTATGGTTCTTATTCTGTGACATCACTATTAAATGTTAATTTGTTATTTCCCCCAAAATTCTATTCCTCCTTGTTTCAACAATAATAATAAATGGGCTTTGGATCAGCGAAACCCACTGCCTCCTGTTTCAGCTAAGCCTTGGCCTTGGATAAACAAACGCTAAAATAAAGTTTACAAAAGAAATTACTTGGTTTCCACAAAGCAAAAGGAATTGTGATTAAAAAAACAAAACAAAACAAAACAAAAAAAGCATTAGTTGGAGAGTCAGAAGTCCTAAGTGTTATCTTTCCCTCTGGAGGAAAATTTAAGTGTCTTAATGTCTCTGTCTGTAATTCAGATGACTGATTCTGTGACTCGATATCTGTGTCTTCTAAGCATCACTATGCAATAGACCAATCTTGGGAACTTGTTAAGAATTGAGATTCCCTGAGCCTCCAGGCCAAGAATTCTAATAATAAAGGAGACAGAGTGGGGACCAGGACTTGTACCACAGCCCAGGCAATTCAGATGGGGGGGCTTCCCAATGCCAACAACCACTCCACTCTAAGACCCCTCCCAGGTCTCACTGCCTGCGAACCTGTCCTTGGTTTTCCCTGGGGCAGAATACTATTTGAAGGGAGATAGACTCCTTTAATTATAGCAACAACAGGATGACAAATGATCTTCGTAGGAAGAGGCTCATTGGTAAGAAGACTGGTAACCATAAATTGTCCCTGCTTGTCAGAAAAGCTCTATAGATTCCCAAGAAACAGAGGCCCCAAGGAAACCACCGTTATCATTTTCCTATACATTCGAGCTTGAATGAGGTTGCCTGTCCCTCTGGGAATGGGCACAGGTGTCCTCTCCCCTTCCTCTGCAGACACTGACAGGACACTAGCAGCAGAATCTCCAATAAAAACACAGCGCTATCTTTCCCTCTCCTGGCTGCCCCTGCCTTTCACCCTGTCTGAGGCAGCTAATTACAACCCAGCACAAAGTCTCACCACCCTTCAGCAGCCTTCCCCAAAGAGCACAGGGAATCTAGAGGGCAAACAAGTCATGAAGCAGTTTTATTATAAATAAATATGACTGTGTTTTCAAAGAACCAGGCTGTAGCAGAAAGAACATGAACAATAGCAAGATGTGAATTTACACCCTTGGTTTGGCTCTGAGGTGCTGATGATAAAATGATACTGCAACTATTAGGAATAGAGTAGTTAAAGAGTGGAAAGCTTTGGGGTGATGGGCCATTACTCATCTTTCCAGCAAGATATATAATCACTTTGACATTTACAAAACATCTATCATGCACAGAACAGAGTCATAAATACTGATAATGTAAATAGCTACAATGTATTGAATGTTTCTATCCATCACACACCTAACACACCCACTCCAGCCTGCCATGACCCCAGCTCTTATCCTGAGCACCTCAGTGACTCTGAGTAGGTCATAGAGCCCTCTGTGTTTTCCTCTTCAGTCATATGAGACAATGGTGGCATCTGCTTCATAGGATATGTGTGTGTGTGTGTGTGTGTATGCAGTTTGTGTCAAGTGTATTAAAGGTGTTCATGCATCTATCTCATTTGACCCTCATTACCTGCCTTGAGGTGGGCATTGTTGTTATCCGAATTTTACAGATAAAGAAACTGCCTGGCAGGTAGGAGGTGCTCCAAACTACTTGCTGAGTAAACTCACTTGAGCCTTCCTAAATGGTTTCCGGACAACTCTGTCTCATAAGCACTGTTATAATGCTTATTTAGGTGGGAAGCCTCAGGCTTGGGAGGGGAAAGGATTTCCACCAAGGTCCATCTTTTCCCAGAGCCAATAAACTATAATATTTTCCTCTGTCTTTTCTCTGGATACCATGAGGCTGGGTCCACTGTTCAGTGTGCATGAACACACCAGGCATGGCAGTGAGATAAGAAGTCCATCCACTAGACTCTCAGTGGCTTGTCCTCTCCTTCTAAGACAATATAATTGTAGTGAGCAGTGTGATCACGTGACAGGGGGGATGAAGGGGCAGAAGCAGAGAAAAGGATTCAAGGGTAGAGGCAGCAGAATAGCAGGCCAGGTGGCAGGGTCTGGGAGGAACTGGCTCCAGACAGGAATGACTAGTCTGCACCCGAATAGCCCTTCAGACTGCAAAGAGCTTTCACCTCCTCAGAGCAAGCCTGGGACAATGGCAGGGCGTGACTAGTATTCTGATTTCACTGAGGAAGAAAACCAGTTTCAAATTGTTTAACTCATTCACTCCCAGTGACACAGCAACTGAGAAGCTAAAATGGGAATTCCCTCTGTAAGCAAAAGAGATCTGGGGAATGCTGAGCATCTAACTCCACTGTGTGCCATTGTCCCCAGGGCACTCTCAGAAAGCTTTCTCTCTCCTCAAGTGCTCAGACCCTTCAGGTTCAAGGCTCAAATTGGGGGTTGGATATTTATTTCAATGTGCACCTTTACCACTGTTTTCAAGATAACTCAAAGCAAGAAATTTAAAAAATACTAATCCTTTGAACTTCCTCAAGTTGTAAAGCTTCTTATAAGCAAACTTTCTGTAGTGGTAGCTTTTCCCTCCTCCATATCTCCTGATGGAACGTTACAAGGCACACGTGAAAATTCCCACCAGTGAGGATATGGGGAAAAGGTACACTTACACATTGTTAGTGTGACTACAAATTAGCCCAACCACTTTGGAAAACAGCACAGAGAGTCCTCAAAAGACTAGGAATGGAATCATCAGAAGACCCAGCTATCCCACTCCTTGGTATTTATCCAAAGGAACTAAAACCAGCACACTATAGTGATGCATGCATACCAATGTTTATAGCAACACAGTTCATTTAGCCAAGTTATAGAGCCAGCCTAGGTGCCCATCAAGAGATGAATAGATAAGGAAAATGTGGTGTATACACACAATGAAGTTTTATCAGCCACAAAGAATGATATCATGTCATTTGCTGGTAAACAAATGAAACTGGAGATTATCATGCTATGTAAAACAAGCTCAACTCAGAACATCAAGAGTCAAATGTTTTCTCTTATGTGAAAGTTAGGGCTGAGGGGAAGGGGGAGCTTATGAAAATAGAAAGGAGATCAATAGAGTGGAGGAAGCAGATGGAGAGGGAAGGAGGAGCGGGCATGGGGAAGTACTGGGAAATGAAATCTACCAAAGTAGTCTATGTCCATACATGAATATACCACAATAAATTGTATATATATATATATATATATATATATATATATATATACACACACACACACATACACATATATAATTATAATCACTAACAAAATAATAATAATAATAGTACTAATAATAATAGAAGGGAGATCAGTAGAGTAGAACCAACTGGATCAGGAGAGGGGGGAGGGAAAGAAAAGGCAAGGTACTAGGGTATGAGATTGATCAAAATGTGTTTTATATGCATGTATTAATTATGTTACATACACAATGAATGCCACAGTTATGTATAAATATAATGCACCAATAAGTTAAAAAAAATAAAAGGAATGAGGAAAAAAAGAAAAAGAAAGCAAATCCTCACCAGCTGACTGAGAGTTTAGCATTCCAGGAACATCCAATGCAGATAACCCAAGTGGAAGCCTCTGTAAGCTTGTTCTGCTTTGATAACCTCTTGGCCCTTACCTTCCCTTTGACTGGGATCCAGCTGCTAATCCTAGTTCTGTGATCACATTAAAGTTCACACCATCACCATCTTTACCTCAGCAGAATTTACCTGGCGTTTTTCAAAGGCCAGACTAGAATGAGGACAGAAGATAAAAATACAACGTGTGGCCTGTGTAAGGTGGCCATGAATTCTCTTCCTTCTGTCATCGTTTAACCTTTCCCTAGTAGGATTAATGCTTCCTAATGATCATTTTTCCCCATAGGACTCCAGGGTGGAAGGGATGTGAAAACTCATCCTTCAATGACCTGTTCACAGCTCCCTCCAACCTTGCCCTGGCCCGCCCTCCACCCCACAATTTGTGCCTACACCTCTTGCTGGTGTCTTCCAAGCTAAGAGTCCATACCACCAGTGCCAGCAAACTCAGTACAGAGGAAACCCAGTTTCACCTGTGAACTTCTCTTTCTGTTTGGAAAGCAGTTATGGTCTTCATAACATTATATAGTAATGTCAGTCTTATCACAATAATATAGGTCCTTATGTTTTTGTTGGTAGTATTAATATAACATTGTATGATAGTATATTATTATATGCAACAGTATTTATCAAAATCAGCACTATAGTATCTACCATATATTAATGGTCATGAATCTCCTATATGCTGCAGGCTTTCCAAAGGATTTTTGATATATTGTTTAACTGAGTCCCCACCACAACCACCTTAGAATGATATCACCAATATTAATTTACAAATGAGAAACTGAGGCTGACAGGTGAGGCAGCTTGGACAAAGGCCGGTTCCCTGACAACTAAAATAAGTGGACATTTAAAAATGTTAAATATTACTGTATTCCTTTGAACTTTGATTTTATGGGTTATTTTAATTGATAGGCAGGAAGGGAAGTGCTTTTTTTATATTTGGTTTTGACTTCAGATTGGAATGTATTTTCCCCGCATCTGTATTTTCACATTTTTCTTTTTGTTCATCTCACCTCCTATCTACACAAATAAAAGGTTAATGTTTATAATTTGAAAGAAATAACAAAATCACAGGGAGACACTGTCTCATATACCTGAAGAGAATTAATAATAATTAATTTTATTTATTTATAATTAAATTATAAATAACTTTATATGGGTGTCTTCTATCATAGCTAATGATAATATTACCTTATATGTCATAGTACTTTACAGGACAAGTTTTTTTCCCATGTGTTTTCAAATTTAACCCTAGAAACAACCATTTCAGGAATTTTCCAAGTAAGTTTCTTAGAGATAGCAGATGATAAAAGAGAAATGTAGATCCAGAATTTCTTATCCTTTTTCCATTTTTACTACAGTTTTTCATTGTTCTAGGAAGAATTGTTAGAACTTCCCATTGTAACTTATTACCTGATAGCTCTTGTGGTTGTGACACTGTGCCAAACACCTAACATAAGTACATCCTGCTGAAATTGGAAAGAACTAAGTTTTCATCACTTGAGATAAAGTGTCTTTCCAATGTCTTATATGGAAGAAAAACTGAGTTTCTATATCTATTAAAAATAAGACCCTTTTTCTATAAAGATGCATTTTCTAGAATAGGGATTAGCAAAATTTTCCTGTAAGGGGAAACGTAGTAAATATTTTAGAGTTTAGACACAGAGTATCTGTAAAACTGCTCAACTAAACTGTACAATAAAAGCAGCCTTAGGCAATATGTAAATGAATGGACATGCTGTGTTCCAATAAAACTTTATTCATAAAAGCAAGAAGCAGGATGTATTGGACCATGGCTATTATTTGGCCCATCCTCGTCTGGAAGATATGTTCTTCCATTCACTCTATTCAAAATATTGCATTTTTAACTTATAATTACTATAAAAATGATTAACAAGAAATTTCACATTCCTTACCTTACCATAAGTCTTCAAAATCCCGAGTATATCAGAGCAAATCTCAACTCAAACTTGCAGCATTTCAAGTGCTCAGTGCATCTAATGGCCACCACCCTGGACAACCAGCTGTAGAGCATTCAAGAGAACAGGCATCTAGGAAGGGGCCTTAGACCTGAGCTGGAGCAGAGTAGGATGAAGGTGAGTTAAAGATGCCTGACTACTTATTTCACCAAGTCCCCTTGGGTTCCAAGCTCTTTTAGAATAACCATCCTGAGAATAATCACTGTGCCTTTAAAAATGAAGTATTCATAAAATGCTATGTGGACCTAGAATATACTCTTATAGATAAAGGTAGGTAAGCTATTGAGGTAAGTAAAATCTCAGATACTTAATAATTACCATGATTTAAATAGACTTTGAATCTTAAAAAAATATATAGTCAGAAAGGCTTCCAACTATTTTGTGAGATCTTACAGTTTGACAAATGGCAGCGACTCAATATCACTCAGCTAGGTAATACTCCTGGGATTTTCTTCTCTTCCAAGTTATTCTAAGTGTGCGTGGGTGGGTGGGTGTGTGCGTGTGGTGATAGAGATGGAGAAGACAGAGGCAGGCAGCAGAGATGAAGTCAGGGAAGGAGGACACAAAACAGGGTCACTGAGAGGCTTTTTCGAGCTACTGATGCCAAATCCTGACATCCTCAATCAGAGACTTACTCAGCCAAATTAAGCTAGCAAGTGTCATTGCTCATCTACTAGGAGTCCTCCATGAAATGTAACAAAACACAGAATATCATCTTAGCCAGAATTCTTAGGAGGTAAGATGGTTAGAAGGAATATTTCAAGCTACCTGGTCTGTTGGTTTGGGGACAGCACAGGACAGGGATTCTACTAATAGTGGAGAAGGATGTAAAGAGGCATCCTTCTCCACAAGTGGATGTAGTGTGCCTGAATGCTGAGACAGGGAGAGGACTCTACAAACTGCAGTATTTTCATTTTGTTAGTTTGTTGGTTGGCTTGTGTTTCCATATGTGCATGTGCACAGAGCTTAGGAAAGGAACTAGGTTGCTGTACCAAGACAGATAAGGTTAAGGCCATTATCAACTATTTTTCACCTTCCCCATTAGCAGTAGCATATTCTGTTCCACCCAAAAAGGAGGAAAGAGAACATTTCATAATATCATCTTACTCACCAATGTATTAGCCTAATCACAATATCAATCTATGAGCTATCTGGAGATGCCAGTTTGGATCCAACGAGGGTTGTAGAATCTAAAAGGGTCTCCAGCTGCTCGGTATTAAACTCTTCTCCTTTCAGGGGAAACCCATTGGAGCATTATACATTAATTTTAGTGTATATTCCAATTGCCTGAGCATTTATTAAATTGCACATTCTAATTCATAGGTCTAGAATGGAGCCCAGGATTCTATGTTTCCTGCCAGCTTCTGAATGATACCTTCCTTCTTGTCTGCAGGTGACACGTTGGATAGTAGGGCCTGCAGAACTTCAAATATTTGTCTGAACAAAGTCCCATAAACCGTCTTGGGTATTTCCTCCTTTTACACCCTGCATTCCTAGCTCTAAAGCTCCTGATTCCCTCCCCTCTAAGCACAGGCTGGCCTGGAATATGAAAAGAGACGAGGAATCAAGTGATCACAGCGGCATAAACTATAAATCCTGCCTGGGCGCACACCTTTTCTTTGAGGCTTATTTCTTTTCATCCTTTTGCCTCTCTGCCTTTAGGTATCAAAGCTTGAAAGAGAGAAGACCCAAGAAGCAAAGAGGATTCGTGAGCTGGAGCAGCGCAAGCACACAGTCCTGGTCACAGAACTCAAAGCCAAGCTCCATGAGGAGAAGATGAAGGAGCTGCAGGCCGTGCGGGAGAATCTCATCAAGCAACACGAGCAAGAAATGTCAAGGACAGTGAAGGTGCGGGACGGAGAGATCCAGAGGCTCAAGTCGGCTCTGTGTGCTCTCCGGGATGGCAGCAGTGACAAAGTAAGGACAGCGCTCACCATTGAGGCCCGGGAGGAGGCCCGGAAACTGTTTGACGCAGAGCGCCTTAAGCTCTTACAGGAAATTGCGGACCTGAAAACGGCCAAGAAGCAGGTGGACGAGGCTCTGAGCAATATGATCCAAGCGGATAAAATCAAGGCTGGGGACCTCAGGAGTGAGCATCAGTCCCACCAAGAAGCCATCTCCAAGATCAAGTGGGAGTCGGAGCGGGATATTCGGAGGCTGGTTAGTAATCCCATCAGACCATGCGGTGCAGAAACCTTCTCTTTCTAGGCTCAGAGCTCCGTGGGACTTGCTTTTTCAGGTGTTTCCTGGTCAGTGGATGGTATACAATGCCTAATTATTGTCCAGTGCTCCATTCAAAATGCAAGATAGGTCAACAGGTATTCAGGTAGCGAGATAAACAGATGGATGTGCCCAGGCCCAAAAGAAATTATAAAACGTAAGAGAATTTGGAATCACTCTTCTCTTATTAATTGGCTCTTCCTAGTCCTACATTTTTAGAGAGTATCTGTTCCACGATCATGGTTTTCTTTGATTGACATCTGTAAAAAAATATTCTAGATTATGAACTCTTCCGATGTTTACATGTTTTTATGGACTTTGCATTTATAAAACCTCACTGGGATTTTTACAGGGCACAGGAGATGGTTCTGTAATTTTTCAAGATGTCTGCAAATGGTAGCCACTGGAACATCCTAAGTGATTCACCAATCTTTTTTTCCACGAACCATGTCTGAAAACAAGAGACAGAGCTATAAAATCTTTAATCATTTTGAAAATTGATCTTTTCTCAAAATAAACAGGGGTCATTCAAAATAAGAATCATTATAATTTCTTCATTGGATGTTATTCCTAAGTAGCTGGTTAGCTATTTGCAATATTCAAGATTTACCTCAGCCCCTTCAGTTTGGATCTTTCCTTTTAACTTGTATAACCCCAAAGCACACAGATCTTTCACCATACTAAAAATAAATTAATTAACTAATTAAAAAAATACAAATGTAACCATCATCTAAAAGCTAAAATGCCTACATTGGCCATTTTAGTTATTTTAGAAACAACATTTATGTTCATCTACACTTAGATGTTTAGTATTAGTTGTATCTTAGTTAATCTTATTAAATTAACAATCACCTATTATAATGTACTTTATGCTTCTCTAAAAATAGTATTTTCTTAGAATAATAAAAAAACAACAACTATACTTTCCTTCCTGCGTCTGCCAATTCTAAGCAATTGTTTTCTAAGAATTCTAATTATGTTCTTTGGCTATACCTAGTATTTAAATTTTAAGGTAATAGTGGTTACCATAGAACATTTTTAAATAGCTAAATGTGTGATTTTCTTTGTAATGTAATATAGTATGACTGTAAAATATTCCTGTTGCCACACCATCTGAATTTTTATATCTGCAATTCATTCTACGCCATGGTTTTTACAATAAAAACCAAACACAGTGCAGAAATATTGGTTCCTGCCCTGTCTTTGGTTTTGCAAGTGACAATGGCTGATGAATAAAGAATCAAAACTGTGAAAGCTGGAGTTGGCAGATAGGTAAATGAAAAAGAAAGCTCTGCAGTAAATATTTTTGTTAATGGGTTTCAATGTAAAATGTACAAGTACATGTGTTTGTTTATCTGTGATTATTTATCTGTTTATTTATTTAATTTATGGTGATACTAAGAATCAGTGTGGTGGTAGACTCTTACATCCACAGCTACATCTGCAGCCCTTTCTTATTTTTTTATTTTTGAGATGGGGTCTTGCTTAGTTGCCTGGGCTGGCCTTGAATTTGAGATCCTCTTATCTCATCCTCCCAAGTAGCTGGGATTACAGGTGTGTGCCCCTGTGCCTGGCCATAAATTTCTTCCATGGCTTCCTTACTAAGGTACTGCTGAAGCAGACAAGAAATCCCCCTTAATAACAATGTAAAATTTAGACCACCTGAAGAGTGGTCCAAAAACTGAGTGCAAACAAAATACCAAAGGAAACCTTTAATAATACACATGCATTCGTCTTCATTTCTTCCTTCTTCTTACCTATCCCTACCCACACCCCAGCTCCATTTTTGGAACTGGAAGGGACATAAATGGAAGCTGTTCTGTCTAGAAAAACTTATCTAAGAATTTGGTGCATACCCCTTTTTATCTGAGAGCTAGAGCTTGTCTTTATTTTCAGTATTTGGATATCAGAGTCCATTCCAACCACCACAGTAATGGAGAGCCTCCTCAGTGCCAGCTACAGAGAACCATCTTGGGGCCAGTATAGTCTAGGGCCTGACAGAATGGGCTCTAGAATCAGAAGATTGAATTGAAAACCAGGCTTCCCTACTTCCTAGCCAGCTGCCTATGACCAAGATTTCACTTTTCAGGTTCTCAGTCCATCATCTGTAAAGGGGTAATAACAAAACCCACTGGATAGGATTATAACGTTTTGATTATTGTGCTTCAAATATGGTAAAAGATCAGTAAATCTCAGCTTCGATGATGGTGGTGACTATTTGGGCACTGATGGGATGATTCCCCCAGCAAGCTGGGTTAGGCAGAGTGTGTCGGAATTCAGAAGACACCCATCTGCAGCTGTGTTTTAACCATGAAGAACATTACCTGTGGTGACCTTGACGAATGACTGCGTGAGTTAAAAATAATACTGGGGCCGAGAGTCCGGTGCAAGACAATAAAAACTAATATTTTCTCTCTTTATCAGAGCAGTACCTGATTACTTACCATGTTATCATGATGTTGTAGATCCTACATACCTTAGCCCCCCCACCCTCCCAAAATGGACCTAAAATGTGTGACTTAGAAGCAATAGTTTACTGGCATTTCTGTGTGGAAAACACTTTACTATGTTTAACAATTTGTATCCCAAATGCTTTTCTCTTTTTTCCTCTAGTCTAAAGAGCATACAAAGAAAGTGATTTGTTAAATATAAGGTGACATTTTAGGAAGAGAAAAAGAGAATCATGTTTGTGTTAAATCTTTTCCCAGTTATATTTCAAATATTTACATATAATGTAATAAAACAGAGAGAAACTTTTCACCAATAGCTATTGTCTCTTCAAAAATTGTTTGCCAACATTTATTTCATTAGCACTCATCCAGGGACAGCAAAAAGATTTCAGTCCAATGGAAGTCTGGTCAATTGTTATTGAATGTGTGTGCCCTTTAGTTGAGAAATACTTCTGAGGCTATACCCAAGCCTAGCACAAATGAGTATTGAGATCAATAAATATGTCCCACAGATGCAGGAGGAGAAATAGTGACTATTACCAGGTATTTTCCATTCCAGTTCTAGTCCCAACCCATGATTTTCTGACAATAATGGCAAAATGTTTGCCAAGTACAGCCTGCTCTGAAATATGGATGGGAATTGGAAAGAACCATATAACATGAACCACTGAGAGGACCCTCCTTCAAAGTGGCCAGCCAAATGCAAACATCTTAGTCTTGAAAGATCATTAGGCCACTGAGAAGTCTGCAGTTACAAATGACCAGCTGATATTTGCTATTTGGATTGAACTCAAATGTGCATTCCCCTGAAGAGAAGGCAACATAAAAATTGCCTGGGAAACATTGTAGTAGAATATTCAGTATTCGTCTTTATTAACACTAATGACCCCATTCTCAAGTTAGCCTTTCTTTTCCATATCTAACCAACCCAGACCATTTCAAACAATACATTGAATGAGAACATCTGTACAGAATATACTAGAAAGGAAAAACTGCTCTACTTGCCACCTAATTAAACGAGGACGACCCTTTATTACACATTGTTGCCCCATCATATTCATGTGTTCAATACACTTGTCATATTCATTTTTCCTCCTGAATAAATCAGAAGAAATAAGTTAAATTCCTACCATTGAAAAATGCATTTCTTTACAGCATTGTTAAAATGTCCTGGGTCTCATTTCATTCAGATGGATGAAATCAAAGCCAAGGACAGGATCATCTTTTCCCTGGAAAAGGAACTGGAGACCCAGACAGGCTATGTACAGAAACTCCAACTGCAGAAGGAAGCGTTGGATGAACAGCTCTTTCTGGTTAAGGAGGCTGAGTGCAACATGAGCAGTCCCAAACGGGAAATCCCAGGAAGGGCAGGAGACGGCTCCGAACACTGCAGCAGTCCTGTAAGTCCACTCAAGTTGGGGTTGGGAACTCAGGAGTCATCTTTTATTTAGCCCCCAAGTTTTACCTTTCACTTAAGCTCTTTTCCTGTTTACTGCCCAGAAATCAATTTGATCTCCTACTATAATACCAGCTAATATCTTGGGAACAAGGTTTTCTAAATTCATAGACAACAAAGTGGTCTGCACTGCATTAGCAGATCACATGAGAATTATAGATCTCTTCATAGACTGCTTCTAGCCAAACAATGCCTGTGCAAACTTAAGTCGATTATAAGAATCATAAATTAAATGAAAATATTTTGCCTCTTGCCAAGACTGGTAATTTTCCCTTGTGTGAACAGTTGGGTTAGAAATTGGTAAAGACAGTTATAATCTGCAAAGGTCAAAACATATATCTGTAAAAAGACTAAACCATTTATAATCATTGTGTGAAAGCTTCTAGTTTGATTGAACTTGCCATTTATTTACCTGGATTTTCATCATTTTATACAAGAAATTATTTTGGGAAGTACGGCAAGAGAAGTCAGCTTGTATGTAGTTGGCTATTACCTTTCAAATTATTTAGCTGCTAAAAAGATGAAAATGTATTATTTAGGAATAGAGATGAGTTCCAAAGTACTACTTAGAACAAAGTAATGAATAATTAATGAATTGGTTTTCAGGATATATATATAGCCTTGTAGGTGGTAGAAAGCATACCGATCTAGGATGTAGCAGATGTATGTTTTAGTTCTATCACTGACACTTACCTACACTGTAGCATAATTGTCAGAGAATGAGCCCTAGAATCAGACTCCTTGGTTCAAATTCTGGATCTGACATTAACAGAATAACCTTAGGCAAACCACTTCACTGTACAGAATCTCCTCATTGGTAAAGTAGAGGCTATACTGGTATCCCACAAGGCAGTTCAAAGGATCAGAAGAAATGGTATATGAAATGTTGAGCACAGTATCTGGCATGCAGTTAACATCCAATACAAATTTGCTATTAATCTGCAGACATAAGCCATAAGACCTTGAACAAGTTATGCTTCCATGAAGTTTACCTGTCCTGCTGAATCCCCTAGGATATTGTAAATTTAGGGGTATAATGTTCTGTCAACAGCACTCTTAAATGATATTAGAATTGCCAGCATATGATAATGGTAATGACAGCCTATGGGCTCTAGTACAGAATTAAGTCATGACTGCTGTGTAAGGTGATTCATAGCAATTCTACCCATGGGAAAGCCAGTTACACTGGGCAAAATATTTTAGTGTAGACTACCCTATAAACTACTGCCTTTTATATCAAAAGGAAAGGTACCTTTCTTCAGTCTGATCTTTTTCTCCAGGAGTATGAAGGAATTTACAAAGCCCATACCTACCGCCTAATCTGTCCTCTCTGTGGTGAAGTGTAAGAGCAGGATGGTTTTCTAATTCGTAGTAGAAAGCAATGTGCAGCCCTGACATGAGGGATGCTCCTTGAACCTCATGTAATCACCACATGACCTTGGTCTCACAGCACAGAGCTCTGATACATTGATCCAAAACTCTGCCATAGCCCCTGCCTTGATTCTGGACCCCTGAGTGTCTGCCATGTAGAATTCATTTGCCATTTCCACCCAGCTTGATCTTCAACCCAAGTGGTGAATACTGGGAGTTAGAAAAGGGTAAATATTTACTCTTCTCTGAACAAGAGAAATTTTGGTGTCATTTCATAAAGTAGATAAGGAAAAGTCAGCCTATTACTTTAATAAATGCATTCCAAAACTTTGTGAAAAGAATTAAAGATGAAATACCCATTTTAATTTTCACGTATAGGATTTGCGAAGAAATCAAAAGAGAATAGCGGAGTTAAACGCCACTATAAGAAAATTAGAAGATAGGAACACTTTGCTTGGAGATGAACGAAATGAATTGGTGAGTTGTCCTCAGTTAAGCCCTATATCTTGGAAATAGGTATTATGTTTTAGCAATGTAACATAATAAAAAAGTGAACATATAACAAAGGTACAGTTCAATAAATACTTGCATAGTGGCACACCCAATCCACCTAACCACCACCCAGATGAATGAGTAGATTACCAGCTCTCAAATCCTCTCTTGGGGCCTCTCCCATTCGCCATCCTTCTAAAGATGACCACCATTTTTGCCTTCTATTCCCATAGACATCACCATTTTTTTTTTTTTTGTAAAAGGAATCATACAATTTTTACTCTTTTGTGTCTGACTTCTTTTGCTCAGCTTTTTGTGTGTGTGTGATATTCATCCATTGCTATGGAGGATACTTTCTTTACATTATACTATTCAATTAAAATATCATAAAGTACTTATTCATTCTATGGTTAAGGGCTATTTGTGCCTTGTTCCACAACACTTTTAAGCTGTTAAGAATGGTGTTGCTAAATGGTGAAAAACATGTCCATTACTACTAGAGTATCCTAGAGTAGCATATAGGCAGCCTCAGCGGTAATTGCAGTTTCCTAAAGTTTTTTTTTTTAACTGTATGCATCTCCATCAACAATGTACGGGGGTTTCAGTTTCTCCACATATGTGCAAAAATGCAAAGATAATTGTTAATTTTAGCCATTTCGGTGCCCATGAGGTATATTTGTATTTTTATTTTAATTTTTACTTTTATCATTATCAATGAGGTTGGGTAACCTTGCAAACATCTCCCAGTCTTTTGGATTCCCTTCAGGTTTTGCCCTTAGTCTTTTGCTTAGTTTCTGTTGTACTGCCTCTAATTTTCTTACTAATATTAAGGCTAAAATGATGAGAAAACATCATTTGTGGGATATTGCATTTAAAATATCCTGCTCTGTGGCTTACTATTTACAATTTTAATGGAGTTGTACATATAGAGGAGTTATTTTCAGCCTTTCATGTTTTAAAAAAATACATGCATTTTAGGCAATAATTGTTTTTCCAACTCTTGATTTTTAGCCTCATCTCCCAAGTGTTGAAGTGTCATAATGCACTGCTATTTTACTCAAAATCTTTTCTAATCACGTGTGATTTCTTCTTTGCTCCATGGCTACTTAGAAGTATATGGCTTAATTTCCAAAAATTTGGAGATTTTTTAGTTATCCTTTGATTATAGATTTCTCCCTTGGAAGGCTTCTTTTGGAATTTGTAGAGATTGGCTTTGTGGACTGAGCATATGGTCAATTTTAGAAATGTTTCATGTTCACATGCAAAGAAGATATACTCTATGATTATTAGTTATAGTTTGATTCAAGTTTGTTAAGTCTATTTAAAATTTTTGGTAACCTTGCTGATATTTTTGCCTGCCTGCTTTCCCAAAAGTTTTATCTATCTGCTTCACTCTATCAATTTGCTTTACATATATCTGAAGTTATATTACTAGATGCATATAAATTAGAATTCATTGCATGTTTTGGCGTACTACCCTTTTATCATTATGAAATACTTTCTTTTCTCTAGGACTTGACTTAAAATCTATTGTTAATTTAACAGAATCACATTTTTTTCTTTTAGTGTTTTCATGAATCTGTAAGTGTATATAAATATACACACAAACACATATGTATATACTTTACTTTCAGTATTTTCTTGTTACATTTAAGATATATTTTTTTAAAAGGAACATTTTGTGGGGGCACCACGGAACTGATTATTGGTCTATGTTTTGTTAGAATTATAGAGATTTCCCTCTCTTTGTGCTTATCTATGTTTTCTGTGAATAGTAAAAGTAAGTAAACTTAGATATTTAAAACTCATGTCATTGGCCTCCAGAAAAGACATAAAGATCAAAATAATGAACCTAGTAGAAGAATTTATTTGTCCGTATGTGTTTTCAATATTTAGTACTAATGATTCAGGCACTGAAGCTCAAGAACTGAGAATTATGTCAGGTTATTTATGGAAATCAATACATATCTGGACTTCCTTATAAAATGGAAGTTTTCAAATGGAAATTAGAATGAAGTAGGAAAGGTGCTGTTTAAGAATCTCCAAGGCAACATTTTCAAATATTCATAGATAGCCAAGCCCCCTTCCTCAGCACCTCCCAAAACCACAGACTCTCGATGGCAGGAGTAACTTTAAAAAATCTTCTTAGATGTTTCTGATAACACTTCCCTTTCCTTGTGTTGGTCACTCCTTCCCTAATAACTTTTCATGTTCAGAATCACTACTATGCAAAGAATATACTGATCATGAGAAACTTAACATGGAAACCCATAATATATAAGTAGACTGGTCATAAAATACATCTCCAAACAGGAGAGTTTTGAGAGTAAAACAGGGACCATTTATATTTACCTCAAGACAACATTCAAAAGTTTAGGTCAGTGGTTCTAAATTACAGAAGCAATTTGAGCAGCATTTACATTTGGTTATCACAAATGGCAGGGTGTTACTGACATCTAATGAGCAGAGAGCAAGAAATGCTGCTAAGCATAGCATAGAACATAGAACAACTTCTACAACAAAAACCTTTCTCCAACAATGTCAAAGGTGCTGAGGTAGAAAACCCCCTGCCTTAGAACTGGGAAAATGAGAGTCACCTTTGGTTATGCATGGATAACAATAAAATCATACTTTGCCAAGACTTGGTGAAAATTGTATTCTTAACAGAAACATCAATGCAGTTTTTTTTCAATATATCTCTTCTTTAAAAATAAATAACTTTAATATGAATCAAGAAATCTCAGCAAAATCTCTGAGGAAATGGATGAACTTTTGGAGACGAGCAGGCTTGGATTCAGGACGTGCTTACATTACTTGGTGACCCTGTGATCTGGATGAGCTGCTTTGTCACTGTGAGACAATGAGAGGCCATCCCAGTTCCAGGGAAGGGGGCTGAGCATAATGGGGTAAACAGGCAGGAGCAGCTAAAGAGAGCTCTTACTCTTGAGTGTTTCCAAAAGCATTATCTCTGCAGCACCTCCTTTAGGGTAATAGAGATACAGGGTTTTAAAGAAAGTGATGAAAAGCCTTAGAGGAATCTGGAAACAAAGAAGCAGACCTGTTAAATGGAGGATTGGAATGTCAGTGAAGCAGACAAAGGGACTCTGAAGGTACTTTCTCTCCCATCAATTGACTCCCCTCTCCAAACCGAGACAAATTCTGATGTTCCTTCCTAGTTAAAACGTGTGCGGGAAACGGAAAAGCAATGTAAACCTCTCCTGGAAAGGAACAAGTGCCTCGCCAAGAGAAATGATGAGCTGATGGTGTCTTTGCAACGCATGGAGGAGAAACTAAAAGCCGTCACCAAGGAAAATTCAGAAATGGTGCGTACTGCAGGCTCAGCAGAACTCAAGTTTCCTTCCCTATATTCCTTCCTTCTTTGTAATAGCCTGACTGTTTTCTTTCTGCTTATTTTTGAAGTATCTTGCTATTTGGGTTTTTCCTTATGTAAGCAAGGAAGCTTTAAGGAGGAAAGCAAGGGAAGCCTGCTTCCTCAGAATTTTATGGGGTTTCTAAATTTACAGAACTGGAGGAGTGCTTCCAGGAGTCTGCACACTCTCCAAAAGCAAAGCTTCAGTGTGTTTCCTCAGCCATAGGAAATGTACCCTTTACAGAACTGTACAGAGGGACACCTCTAAGAACTGGCATAGTAGTTGGAAAATAGAAACCGTCACTGGCATTAGGTATGGACAGGTGATATGGTAATGCACTCCTTAACAGATTTCCAACACATCTATAGAGGTCTCCAGAAAATCCCCCAATGACTTAAACATAGTATCACAGAAAAAACACACTTGAGGTTTTGAGTTGGTGTGTGTAGAAACACACATTCTAACTGGAAAATGTTTAGGTGGAGCCTCATAAACTTCCTGCCCATGTTTTGTAGTAATGACTGAACTTTGGCATTTTTTAAAGTTTCCACGTGTACCTCTTCTTTTCAAATCCAGAGAGAAAAAATAACATCACACCCACCTTTGAAGAAATTAAAATCTCTGAATGACCTCGACCAAGCTAACGAAGAACAAGAGACAGAGTTTCTAAAACTTCAGGTTATTGAGCAGCAGAACATTATTGACGAGCTCACAAGGGTAGGTTCTGGATCAATCTGTAAACTCTACACTGATCCCAAGGACAAGTAGTGTGTTGTCAGGTTTTTATCACTGTGATGAAAAAAACTGAAAAGAACAATTAGAGGAGGAAAAGTTTATTTGGCTCACAGATTCAGAGGTCTCAGTCCACAGACTCCATTGCTCTTGACCCAAAGTGAGGCAGAACATCATGGCAGAGGGGCGTGGAGGAGGAAAGCAGCTCAGGTCTTGACAATCAGGAAGCAGAGAGAGCTCCACTCATCGGGGACAAAATATAAACCCCAAAGACATGCGCCCAGTGACCCACTTCATCCAGCCATTCCCCAACTATCTACACTTATCACCCAGTTAATTCACATTAGTGGAGTGATGCACTGATTATATTAAAGTTCTCATAACCTAATCATTTCACCTCTAAACTTTCTTGCATTGTCTTATACATGACCTTTTGAGGGATATCTCATATCTAAACCATAACACATAGCCAACAAATCAACATACAGTGGAAGTACTTAATGATTTTGGATTAACCCCAGAGGCCTACATGTTCAGTATATAATTATGTTTAGGAGACTCTATTTCAGAGATATTTTATATTGTTAAACTGCTTTAGACCTTTTCATTTATAATCCTTTGTTAACCAATTTGGTAGCATAAATAATAGCTGCAAAGCACTTTAAAAGAACCTTGAAATGAATTGTTATGTAAGTTTGCAGGGTGAGTGTGTGTCTTACAATTGTCTTCCAGTATTAGAATCCTGAGACTAAATATTTTGCTTATAGTAACAGGACCATTTATCTCTTGCTACCCAACACTGAATCAGTGTCTAACACGGATGCCATTTAGTAATTATTTTCTGAATAAACAACAACATAATTACATGACAGAACTGGAATTCCAGTCCAAATTTTCTGACCATGTTTCAGTCCCTGCTGTATAGGTAGGACAATTACTGCTACTGATCACATCTGGCTGAGGTTTGTGTTACCTGCAACAAGGACTGAGACCTTGGAAACCTTTGAGTTCTCTTCTTTGCCTCTCTGCCTTTATTCTAAGAATGATATCCTTGATTCCTTGCACTTCAGGATCAACCAAGCCCCACACTTGAAAAACTAGAGACAGGGGTTAGGCAATAGTCTCCCAAGTGGTTGAGCAAGATAGTTCACTGTCATTAAGAGAGGGAAACTTATGACTTTGGTTGTAAATTATTTATTGTTTATCCTTCAAACAACTTCTATGTTGACTATATGCTGTAATGCATACACTAATTAGGAGGGTTATCTAAGTATTGTAATGCATGTACATTTCAAAAGTCTCAACTACAGCTAGGTGCAGTGATGCATGCCTGTAATCCCAGTAACTCAGGAGGCTAAGGCAGGAGGATGGCAAGTTTGAGACCAACCTCAGCAACTTAGCAAGGCCCTAAGGACTTAGGAAGACCCTGTCTCAAAATAAAACATTAAAAAAAAAAAAAAAAAAAAAAAAAAAAAAAAGCCTTGGAGATGTGGCTGAGTGGTTAGTGGTTAGTTAAGCAACCCTGGGTTCAATCCCCATTACCAAAAAAAAAAATAGTCTCAACTACAGTGAGGTGTCAAGATCAAAATGTTTTTAACTTGTAAAGACAAAAAAATCAAAAAGCCTAAATACCATTTGCTTAAAACACATTACTTTTCAAATGTGGTATGAAGCTCTGGGTTCCTCACATCATTTCCACAATGTAATAACTCATAAATATCACATTCCTCACAAGTCCAGGAATTTACCTCACTTTAAAAATCCTGGATTTAAGCTATAAGTTTCATAAGAATTCTGGGCTATTTAGGCATGTTGATCAGAACATCTGCTTTAAACTTGTGCAGTAAATACACAGAGTGCTTAATAAGCAATCCCCAAATTCCCTCAGTATCTCCATTCATAGCAAAAACAAATAAAAAAAAGATACTATAATTCCCCCATAAAAATAAATAAATAAAAATAAAACAAAACAGAAACACTGAATAAATCCAGTGAACTAGGATCCAAACAAGTTTCCACAAATAGCCAAAAGATAGCTTTCTGTACTTTACAAATGAAAAAAATAAAAGAATAAAGGTTCGTTTTATTGTGAAATGCTACTTTCTAAACACAAATCTAAAGTAATCTGGGGTCTGGGAAAATAGAAGAACTGTGCTTTGTGGATATATAAGTAATGATATGTAAAACTGTTCGATTTTTAAGTATAAATTAAACCGAGGGATTCTGATTAGGAACACAGTACACTTCCTGATGGTGAGGCCTCAAAACCAAAAGTTGCCAAAATTTTCCAAACAAAAATCTTATTTTGAGGGGCTAGGGATGTGTGGCTCAAGCGGTAGTGCGCTCGCCTGGCATGCATGCGGCCCGGGTTCAGTCTTCAGCACCACATACAAACAAAGATGTTGTGTCTGCCAAAAATTAAAAAATAAATATTAAAAAATTCTCTCTCTTTCTCTCTCTCTTAAAAAAAAAATCTTATTTTGAAGAAAAATTTGTAAGGCCTCAAGGGAAAAACCAATTTGTTTTTTGCAAAAAAAAAAAAAAAACAAACCTGTATGGATATACCAACTAGTTCTCAAAATCCGTTATCTGTTTTTCAGGACAGAGAAAAGCTCATCCGTAGGAGAAAGCATAGAAGAAGTTCCAAGCCAATTAAGGTAATGAGAAAACTAGGTTATCAGGCATTTGCCACAAATAGACAGAGAGGTGAGCTTACCAAGGAATATTCCTGCAAAAATGTGATAAATCAGATGTTCCTGAACTCAGCAAACCAGGAGCTTTATTTGCTGAAAGAAATTTCTTCTCTTGATATTTCTCAGAGTCTGAAAATAAACGTGTTTGCTTTAATATGACTTTCTCTGAATGGAGAAGCCACTAAGTTCAATGTAGAAAGGCTTGCTTAACAAATTGAAAAGTTACAATCCAAGAACACACAAGATGTAGACATGCTTTGATGTCTCCCTCTGGATAATATCAGAGTTTTCTGCTCATTCTATCAGTACATTTTCATTATTCACTTGAACAATAAATTTTATTGATAATGACATTCTTAATCCACCAGTATCAGGATGGCCTCTTAGTGCCCACAGAAGTCTTGTTATTTAGTTTGTTTGGTTTCAGTGTTTGTTTTTACTAAGTGCCTCATTTGATTTGGATATGGAATTAGATGGCCAGACTTAAGTTCTGATGATCCTCTTCATAAATGCCTAACTTTTTAAAGAATATTTATTGACCCTAAGAAAAATGTTTTTTTGTATGTTCTTACCTGTAAAATTAGGTTAGAGAAGGCATTATATATTGCATAATGTTAGCATTTAGATGCCTGGATTTTCAAAGTCCTGTGAGCACATTTTAAATACCAGAAAGAGTAAATTACATTAACTCTTCAAGATAAAAAATGTAATGTAAAAGAGGCTATAATATTAATTAATACCCTTTGAATAAGTCAGAAATGAAATAACATGGGAGAAATATTCATTGCTACTGTTGTGCTTCTGCCTAATATTTTTCTCTCATCAAAGAAGCATTACAGGATGTCTCCCGTGCTCATCCACATGTATGTCGGCATGGTGTTTTGACATGCTAGCTTTCCCATGTGTAGTTGTGTCAGTCAACACATGCTTTCCCTCTGCTTAGAGGCCTGTTTTGGACCCATTCATTGGCTATGATGAGGACTCTATGGATTCAGAGACATCTTCCATGGCCTCCTTCAGAACAGACCGAACACCAGCTACTCCCGACGATGACCTCGATGAGGTAAGCTCTTCTGTTTCTCTAGTCTTGTGTGATGTTGTCACCAAATCTTTCCTTTAAGGGAAAGAAAAAAAATCACTTTTCATCTCCTTTATGACCCACACAGAGTGATCTCATAACAGTGACCATGTCTGAGACCACAGTTTGCCTTATTCCTTCTTGATAAGTAACATCATCTGTGTCATGTGAAACTTCTAGAAACTGCTCTGCAATTCAGCTCTATAAGTTGAAGACTTCTTTCAAAATAAAAGTTACTCTCCAACATCCTTCATCTAGGGAAATTGTGAGCCCACAAACAAGCTCAGGGGTTTTCTGTATAGAATCTAAGGCTCTCTGATCCACCCTCAACAGACCAATCTAGGTGGTTTCATTACAGTGAAGAATCCAGGACCCAAACACACATCCCTTGACTTGGGATCTGAGGGGTAAATATCCCCCAGTCTTCAATTTTCACAAAACTCCCTAGTGATTGTGTAAGTCCTGAAGTTTAGGACCTTGAGCTATAAACAGGTTTTTTTTTTAGAATAATTTATCTGCAAAAGAAGTCGTGGATATGAATTATTGAAAAGAAGTAAAATTTTGAGTATCGTCTTACTTTGATTTAGATCCAAAATCCATGTACTTATTTGCATTTGGATCTAAGTTGTCTGATATCCAATCATAAATGGGTAATAATCAGAAATGAACAAGTGAGTAAATGCTTCTTTTTAAAATTTGTTTCTTACACATTTCTGCATTGTCTGTCTTGAGAGTATTACAGTACTTTTGTCCACATATACACTTGAGAATTAAAAATGAAATCAAACAGAATGTTAAATCAAACAACTTTCCTTCCCTATAAACAGTGGGTGAATGTTAGTTATTGCTTACCTGGAACACAGAACCTGAATTAACACAATCACTTTGGGCCTTTTTGTTGTTTGTTTGTATTTTAACCTCAAGAGTTTAGCAGCTGAAGAATCTGAGCTACGATTTCGACAATTGACAAAAGAATACCAGGCCCTCCAAAGAGCATATGCCCTGCTACAGGAGCAGACGGGAGGCATCATCGATGCTGAGCGAGAAGCCAAGGTTGGTGCTCCACTGCCCAGAGCGCTCTGAATTAGGTTGGAGAGGTTGCAGCATGGATCTCAGCAACAGGAAAATGTCAGTCAGTAGCACCCTTCTCTCCTCCAAGGCTTTTGAACTGTTTTAATTTTTTTGTCAATACACCTTGGATCTAAAGACATTAAAAACAACCTAGATTGATGCTTTTGTTGAGTATGTAGTATCTCATTCTTGCCATCTGAAAGCTTTGATTTTCAAAGCTAGACAATATTGGTTTTAATTTCTTGCAAAGAAAAAAAAATAACTTTTATCTTTTTGGCTAGCTAGTTTCTTTTCTTTGTAAATAATTACATAATATTACATTGGACAGCTCACCCAGAATTTTCACAGACTCTATCTCACTTAATTCCAGTGAGAGCTCCCTAAGGCAGTTATTTTATAAAAAGGGAGTTTAAGACTCAGAAAGGTTAACTTAATTGCCCAAGTTCACACAGCTGGTAAATGGCAAAGCTGGGATATCACTCCTCTCTCTCTCTCTCTTCTCTCTCTCTCTCTCTCTCTCTCTCTCTCTCTCTCTCTAGTTGTCAATGGACCTTTATTTATTTATTTACTTACATGCAGTGCTGAGAATCAAACCCAGTGCCTTACACATGCTAGGCAAGTGCTCTGCCTCTGAGCCACAACCCCAGCCCTCCACCTCATATCTTCCTGGGTCAAATGTTCTTTCTCTTATATCATAAGTACCTCGTACAAGCCTATCTTGAAGGAAGGAAGAAAGGCAGGCAGGAAGGGAGGGGTGGGGTAAGGAAAAAAGGAAAAAAAAATTAAAACATGCTACTGATATTTAACATTTATTGAGTGCTGACTGTGTTACAGACACTGTGTGGAGTACTCTACATGCATCTATGTAATCCTAAAAAACTCTATGAAAAAAAATCACTTAGTAGAAGTTAAATGTACCTAGTTTAAGTTAAATTATTTACCTTAGGTCACAAAGACATGAATCTAGCCTTCTGACTTCAAAGTTATAGTCATCACAGTATTCCTACCTCATAGACTGAGGGAGCGTTTGTATCCAGTGATTTTGTTTTTGAAGGGACTACAATATACTGAATTTTTTTTTTTTGGTGCCAGATATTGAACTCAGGAGCATTTAACCAAGGAGCCACATGTCCATTCCTTTTTTACATTTTATTTAGAGACAGGATCTTACTGAGTTGCTTAGGGCCTCACTAAGTTGCTGAGGCAGGCTTTGAACTCCCTCCTCAGCCACCCAGGCTGCTGGGGTTACAGGTGTGCGCTACTACGCCCGGCCAATATACTGGAGAGTACTGTAGCAACTGCTGTCAGTTGTTTAGAAGGAAAGATGGCTATTACAATTATATATGTTAAATGGTAGCATACACGTACATAAACACATTTGAATACATAAGGGAGTAAGCATTTTTTTTTTTTTTTAATGAAACTTTGGCTTGGAACAGACAGGCAATCCTTCATTAGAAAGGGGTATACCTGTATGCCATCATGTATTTGCCTCAAAACTGTAATATTTGTGTTTTTCACTATCAGTATTTACTGAGCATTGTTACTGACACAGGAAAGGGTAGTTAAAATATTAGGATTTGGATTTAGATTTAGGTACAAAGTTGTCTTTGTAAGAATGGGTAGATGTGGACATGCAAAATGGGCCAAGGCTTTCCAGAAACAGAACTCATTCAAATGCAGAAGTGGCAAGTTAGAAACTAGGATTTAGGAAACAAGAATGTCACCAGCAGGTAAGGGGTAGACTCCATGCTGAGGAGGAGTAGGAAAACATGGGCTTTTTTTGATTGCCATGCTAAAGGGCTTGGACACTAACCTGATGATAAAGGGAGCCACAGAGGGTTTTAAGCAGAATTTAAATCATGGAGGCAGTTTAGAAAGATGTTTCCTACTTTTGTCCTAGAGGACAAAAAAAAAAAAACAAAAAAACAAACCTCATGCCCATTCCTTTTTTACATTTTATTTAGAGACAGGATCTTACTGAGTTGCTTAGGGCCTCACTAAGTTGCTGAGGCAGGCTTTGAACTCCCTCCTCAGCCACCCAAGCTGCTGGGGTTATAGGTGTGCACTACCACGCCTGGCCAGAGTTCTTTTTTTCTCTCTCATCTTTGTTGTTTGTTGAATAACTCATGAAGGAACAGGAGAGAAAGAAAAATGTCACATTGATGTAGGACAGAAGAGGCTAGACACCTGAGCAATTTTTAGGAAGCAGAATTATCTAGCTGCAGCAGTCCAGAGTATCTATCACCTAAAAATCTCTGGACCCTGAGTCTGGAAATTCTTTTAGATTTATACTCAGTAGGGGTGGTGACATGTTAGTAGGTGGGTATATAACAGTTACTCTTTGTCCCATATTTTTAGGCTAGACAGGTTTTATGATTTTTTTTTCCTGCAACCCTAACCCTAACCCTAACCCTACAAAGCACAGTGTCCTCTGCAGAAGTTATTACTGATATCCTATGTAAAAATCTTTCTGATGAGAAGAGAACCTTAATTATGGTGTTGGGGGGGGTGTCCTTGGAGAAGCTTATATATTACAAATATCATAGGGGGGTCTCTTTGGTAGGGGTACTGGCCATTTTGCTTGTTGAGTTCTGGAATGTTCATTTTCACCAGGCTCAAGAGCAGCTCCAAGCAGAGGTGCTGAGGTATAAAGCCAAAATTGAAGATCTGGAAGCAACGCTGGCTCAGAAAGGGCAGGTAGGCATGCGGTTGCTACCTCCTCTGCAGATGCGGAATTCAGTCTGACCCTCCTCCAGCTCACTCCATGCATGGGCCAAACCAAGAACACACCTTGGCTCTCCACAGTGACCTTTCTCAAATTGTGTCAGAATGTTCACTCTGTATTTCTGTCCCTGGTGTTTTGCTGGCCAGAGTGTGAAACCAGCCACAACTGGGAATGAGGTGGGGTGAGAGAGAAGAGGCCAGAGGAAGAGGAACCCCATACAAATAGCCTAGAGTTTTCACAAGCTGCTAAGACTAAGACCCACCCGACCCTCAGCTGCATTCTTTGCCTCTATGCTACATCTATGGTTCTGCATTTTAATGTTTCCATTCATATGTATCTAGCCTGTGTGCATTCTGACCCTTTTCACTTTTTGCCTGTGTGGTCACTTCTGAGTCCCCAGAAGGCTGGTCCTGGATTATTCAGACTGAAAAAGGTAGAGGTAGCCAGTGAGAGGGAAAGGGGGTGAAATCTTCCTGGCAACTTTGGCCCCAATGTCTTTGAAGAAGGAGCTGGCAGGGGTGGGTGTCACTTACCAGCTGTTGGTAGGCAAAAGCACCAGGTAGAGAGAAGACAGCTCTGGCCAAGTGGTTTGCGGACACGTGCTCTTTCGTGCCACTCTGAAATGCTGACTGCGCGATATTCTTTGTCAAACAGGATTCACACTGGGTAGAAGATAAACAACTTTTCATTAAGAGAAACCAGGAGCTTTTAGAAAAGGTATGTTGGGCACAACACCCTAGTGGGGCAGAGGAGAAAATGACAAGAGATCCAGGAGCAGCAGGGGGTGCTCTCAGGAGTGGCACAGGGGCCAGGGAAGGGGAGGCTTTTCCGGTGCTGCTCTATTCTCTGCTGCGTGCTCAATTGCATCCCTGTCACCACCATCACCATCAGTTAAGTGGCACGTGTGCATGGCTCCACGCTGCGCGTCCTACAGACTTGAAGGGTGTGATCCCTACAACTCGCTGATCTGTTAACCATGTATATATATATATTGTACAGATATACTGTACACAGATATATATATGTACACACGTACACATCCTATGTGGTTGTCCACCTACCAAAAAAAAAAAAAACGCAGCTCCTACTATAAATATTGTTTTGTGCAAGGAAACGAACATGACTCTTAAGACTATGAGGCAACTCAGCAGATTTGTGTTCTCACATTTAACCTTTTTCATTAAGCTTGACTGTTTTTTTTTCTTGTTTCTTGTTTCTTTTCTTTTCTCAAATTGAACCCAGAAGTGCTCAACCACTGAGCCACTTCCCCAGCCTTGTTTTGTGTTTTTTTTTTTTTTTTTTTTGCTTAGAGCCTCACTAAATCACTGAGGCTGGCTGCAAACTTGAGATTCTCCTGCCTCCTGGGCCCCTGGGATTATAGGCATGTGCCATCATGAGTGGCTCTTTTTTCTCAAGAATTTTTTTTTTTTTTAAAGATGCATCCAAAGCAAAACAGCACGTCCAGGAAAATTGGTCAACAAAGTGAGATACAAAAGCATGATTTCAAGCCAGTATATGTAATTCATTTTGGCTGCCCAAACATTGGCTTTTGATTTGAGGCAATTTTACATTAACAGAGAATGATTTAAGTTCAAAGACAACTTTCTCTTTACTATTTACCTTCTACAAATTTAATCAAGGATAAAAAAATTTAAAAAACTTATATTATCCTTGATAGAAACAGAATTTGAAAGCTTATTTGAGTAATGAAAATAATTCACTTAATTCACTGGATTAGTCCAGAATTATGTAAAAATCATTTTGTAAATTGTTTCTACCAGCATTTTCTGCCTTTGACAAGTCATAAAAACTAAGCACAATACCCTGGTCAGCATGGGAAGGAAGAAACAGATGCATGTCTCCTCTCCCCCAGCCTCTAGCCCTGCAAGGTCTTATTTCCTGCATGATGTAAGACAGAGCTGAGATATAGAGGGTGTGTAGGTATCCAAAATCGAGAACTGGTGCTCTTGGGAAGGTTGAGTGTTCCTATAAGAAACCTCGTTGTCCTTAGTGCCAGCCCATGAACTCAACTCTGTGGACAGCTGATCTAATTGTTTCACTAACTACCAGGACCAGCAAATATCCCATTACTGACTCAATTCAAGATTTCAGAATGTAGAATCTCCTTTACAATCTGAGTCAATTTCTAGAGATATCTGAAAGTTCATTGAACCACTGAGATATAGAGTTAAAAAAAAAAATTGAGTTAAGGGCTGGGATATAGCTCAGTGCTGGAGCACTTGTCTAATATTTGTGAAAGCCTGGTTTACATCCCCAGCACTGCAAGAAGAGAAGAAGAAAAAACTTGAGTTGATTACATTAATTCATATCCCATAATTTCACCACCTTTCCTTTCCTATTAATTTCAGAGATGTCTAATAATAAGTGTTATTTCATTTTTATAATGAAAAATTATTCCCAGTATGTCTTAAATCTGATTTCCTTTATTTTTTTTTTTTAATTTGGTCCAAAAGGAGAAATTTTGAGCTCTGGCTTCTAAGAATAAATTTAAAAGTAAATATTTTTAACTTTAAAAGTATATGTTTGGGTGAGTAAGATTCATTCTGTGATAAAAAGAAATGGACTCTGGGTTTGTATTTCTAAATCTAAAATTTTAAATACTTACTGTGTATAATGCCCACCCACACAGCTAGTGTCAAAGGAAGCCCAAAGTCTATTGTCGTTCATAAAGATTTTCTGATCCCTTATATCCATAGATGACTCAGACAAAAAGCCTGTCTTCAGAAGGAGGCACATTTGTACACAGCTAACTTAATTTTATGTTTCATCATGTTGTATAAATGTCCTGTAAGAAAGTCCTATAGGAAAACAGAAAGAAGAGGTGTCACTTCCAAATGGGTAGACTCCCCCCACCCCAGGAAAGTTCTTATGGACCTCAGAGCTTGGTGCCCAAGAAATGTAGGGTTTTGTCTGTAAAAAAGGAGATAGGGAAGTGCTTTTCAGAAAGAAAAGACAGAGTTCTAGAAGAATCACTTCATCTGGGTAGATTGAGGTTGTCAGATTCTGGTGTGTATGTGGTTGGTCACGTGAGTACATAGAGGATTTTTAGGAATGATACTGATACATTTAAAACTGGATTTAAAGTTAGATGGTGAACAGATTACTAAAGTATTTGAATTTCATAATTAGGAGTTTGCCCTTATTCTGTAGGTAATTGGAATTTAGTGAAGTTTTGTATAAGATAAATGTTGTTTTTAAAAAATTATTTTACATTTCAAAACCCTTAAGAGCATAAATGTCAAATATTATCACCACAAAAATGTCAAGTATTTTAGGTTCTGGATGAATTAACTGGCTTGACTTAATTATGCCACATATATTCACAAATTATAACATCACTTTTACCCTATAAATCTATACAATTATAAATTGTCCATTTACAATAAAATATACTTCCCTGACAAGTGGTATCTCCAGAACTGAGAGGTGTCGATACCCCTTATAGAAATCCTTGACTTTGTTCTACTCCACTATGTCTGTCCCACAAGAGCATATGAGTAGCTCACATTTACTATTCACAGGAGCCTTGGACTTTATTTCCCAAAACAGAGATTTCTTCCATCATTTTTCTCTATGACTCAGACATCTTAGCTGGAGGATAACTAAAAGGAAAACCAAAAACTATTTTATTCGCATCTTCTTGGGAATTTTTTCATGGCCTAGATGATTGATTCACCAAGGGAGTTAACACTAGCCATGCTTGCTTTGCAAAGTTGTAGTTGCTTTTTGCAATGCTCACCTAACTTCAGGATTTACTTTATTAGATAGAAAAACAAGAGGCAGAAAATCACCGGCTACAACAGGAACTACAGGACGCCAGAGACCAGAATGAGCTGCTGGAGTTTCGAAACCTAGAACTAGAAGTAAGGAGATGATGATGATGGTGATGATGATGATAAAACCCACTGAGCACCTTGGATAGGGGCTGAAAGAAGCATTTCAAATTCATACTCTCACATGAACCTCACAATCACTCTCCAGATCTTATCACCAAGGCAACTAAAATTAAGTCCCCCAAGTCCCCCAAGCTGTGAGTGGTAAAACCTTGAGGCAAATCAGAACTGTGTGCTCACATTCAAAAACAGGTGCTTTTCAAACACCTATGCCTTTATACACAAGTCTGATGATTTTTAGATAATTTAAATAATAAATTTAAACCTCATTATGACTTCATTGCTTTTCAATAATATCCATCTTTCATTGAATCTTGACTCCGAAATGTCACTTCAAGAATTATATTTCAAAATATGTTAGAGAAAATACTTTAGTTAAATTTGAATTGCTAAATAAACTTATTAGTCTATAAAACATTTATGCAAAAGTATACTAAGAAGCAAGGTAACATGTTTTAGGAAATACTTGATTAAGTGGGGGAAATTCAGATGTTTGACTTTGGGGGTTTTTTTTGAATACAACATAAATCAAATCAGATTTTGATTGTATCATGCAAAATTTGGCTTATGGTCAAGTTGAATATGTTAATATGTAAAATTGCAAGGAAAATTACTGTATTATTTTTCTGTTATTTTACCAGTGATTTCTTCTTGAGGTTATTTCAAATTAGACCTGGATAAAAAGTTAGTAGTTTATATCCTTCAGGAAAGAAGAGTTAGGCATCTTTTACATCTACAGATCTCACTCAAAATGATTGAGTGGATTGAAAAGGCTATTTGCTACCATAAACTTCCTTGCAAGGCCACTCTTCGATATCTGAAAGTTCTAAATATTTATACAGTTTGAAACAGGAACTTCGCTTTCTGCATTTCTCTAATAAAAATATTTGCAAGAATGAATGTCACTATCTATCCATTTTTCTCCCATTTCACTTAGTTGACTGGTCAGTTTTTTTCTATTAAATTTAAGCATGAACACCTGGAGTTTAATTTTTTGGGTGGGGAGGGCAATAGACATATTGATACACTGCTGAAATTGCATAAAGAGACAACTGGTTTAGTGTTTAATCAGTTGCTCCTTATCTTAAAAATTCTCACATATTCTTTGCTGTATTTCAAGGAGAGAGAGAGGCGATCCCCTCCATTTAATCTACAAATCCACCCATTCTCAGATGGTGTGAGCGCTCTACAGATCTACTGTATGAAAGAAGGTGTCAAGGTAGGCACACATGAAATTTTTTGTTTTTAGAAATTAGAAAAACTGAGAATTGGAAAAGGGGAAATTGTTCATGATTGTTTTGTTTTTCAATCACTGAATACAAACCATGTAGGAATTGCAAATAGTCACATCTGTTGGAAAAATCAATAAGAATATAAATGTGTCACACATACATGAACAGTAAGGACACAGGCAGTCATAATTATTCAGAACAGAGCAGTTCTGTTCTAATATCTTATTTATTAAGATAATTAGCCTTAATTAATGAGGGGAAATGTGAAAGTAAGTCAATACTTCACGTAGCATATATCAAGACTGAAATGTAGCTCTGTGGTAGCGCTTGCTCAGCATGTGCAAGGTTATGGGTTCCATTCCCAGCATTGCAAAAATTAAAAATTTTAAAAATGAGAGAGAGAGAGAAGCATATTGCAAGTCTGCAGATAAAAATGTATCTGATGAGCCCCTTTGTTGTGACTTTCTAGGTGCTGTGGAATTCATTATTATGGGATTTGGGAATTAGAAGACATCTTTGAAATCATCTAGTTGGCTTGATATATTTAATTTAGAGAGGATTTCCACTTTGGAAGTGCTTCAGTTTTATAACATGTCACTTATTTAATAAAATAAAATCTACCCTTAGTGTTAATGGAATAAGGTGAAATTGAAGTATCTGCATTTCCCAGAAAATGTATTGTCCTTCCGTGTAATGAAATTGCACTGTGAGTTTCTCTTCCCGAGCTGCAGCTGTTGTGCCTCCTGCTAGTCCTGGTCTCTCTTTTACCCTCTGCATGGCCAGACTGCTCCTACTCTGAGCTGCCAAACATGCCTGCTTCAGTTGCCTTCTCTCTTCCTATCACATAGAGATAGACTTTGCCTTTCCTGGTGGCAGGGCTCTGCTGTGCTGTTGTTTGAACATGAATAGGAGGAGGGAGTGGTATAACGAGGTTAAAAAAAAGTGGGATATAAATTAGTCAATAAAATTGTGCATCTTTGGCTTCCATCACTTCAACCACTTCATAGTGTTTAAACTTCTGGCCTTCTTCCTAGGTTACATGAAAATTTGTAAATCAAAGCAAATTTTAATTTAATTTTAATTAAATGAAAACAGGGATTTTTTTCCTCAGATTTTTTCTTGGATAAATCTTAATTTAATTCCAATGGATTAGAAATCCTAATTCTAAACAACCTAGTGGATGTAACTTATATCCAAGAGAAATGATTCAGAGTTTAGCTGCTCCAAACAAATACAAGAACCAGAGTCTTCCATGAGCTATTCCCCAAAGGATGAAATTAATCTAACCATATAAAAAAAAGGAATTGCTTTGTAGTTTTCTACATTGACAGTCAAAATTAACCAAACCAGGATTCCTTTAATTAGAACAAAATCGATTCTTTATATTACCTTTTTTGATGCCTGAAACATATCATAATTGGAAAAAAATTGGCAATTATAAGAATAAAAGTTAATACCCCAAGTCCGTACTTCATGCTAGACTCTCACACAGCCTCATTCTGTACACCACCCTATGAGGTAGATATTTATTATCTCTGTTCTGCATCTGAGACAGCTGAGAATGAACTGTTAAGTAGAATTCCCAAGTTCATACGGCTGTTAAGAAGCAAGAGTGGAAACTCAGAACAAGGTATGCCTCATGGAAGACAGCCCACAGACATAATGGCCCTAAAACGACTTCACTGAATTGGTGACTGGCACTGGTAGATTGGGAAGCCACATTCATCTCTTTGACTTCAATGCATCTTCTTGATTTTGCAGGATGTGAACATCCCTGATCTCATAAAGCAGCTTGATATCTTGGGCGATAATGGGGTAAGTAATGAATTGATTAAGTATGATAAAGATATGAATGTGCCTAAACAAGAGATAAGAAATACTTACCAGTATATCATGTACATGAAATAATAGCAAGTGAGACACCATTTTCACTTACAGATGTAGCTCCCTTGGGAGATTCTACAATTTATTAAACAACTTTGCCAAAGGGGATGTTAGGATCTGCAGGAGTTAGTAGCAGAAATGGGACCTGGTAGAGTGCTTTTCATGGGCAGGTTTCAGATCTGAATGCTGACCACATCTGCAGTCATTAAGGCTAATTAACATCTGACTGTTGCTCAGAGGCATCCAGTATAAAATTAATCAGTCAGGCATTTGCAAATGCTGCTAAATACTAGGGTTGCTGGCAGCTCCATAAAAATGAAGCAGAAAGCTATAATCCTTTTTCTTTCTAAAAACTCCTTCTAGACAGGGTCGAGGCATATTAATTCAGTGGGGGATCATTCATTGTGATACTAGCTGAATGATGTATGCAAGTTCAAGCAGTCACTGTTTATTCTGAAAAATTATCAAAGGAGAAAACAAAATCTACGGAATCACATCAAAACAGCTATGAAGAGTGTTCTTTATTTTATCTGATTTCTGTTTTTCTCATAAAATAGCTATTAATGAAGTATCCTTGCAGTGACACAAAATCAAATCAGAATTAGGGAAATGTAAAAAAAAAAAAAAAAAGAAAAAGAAATCACACTTGATATGCCTCTTTCAGGTTTTGGATTAACTACTGGGAATTATTACTAAGCAATAGGAATTTGTTAAGCTTTTGTGCATACATAAAGAGTAGCATCTATGGCATTAGTTATTTTCTGTAGTATAAATATAAATATATTCAGCTTATTGCCTTTCTCTTTTATTTTTCACAGAATTTAAGAAATGAAGAACAAGTGGCCATCATTCAGGCCAGTACTGTGCTTTCCCTAGCAGAGAAGGTAGGTAATAAGTCCTATTAACATATCATCATCTCCATGTCTGGTTTAACATCTAAAGAATAGGGTAGAATATGGAGGACATTCCCTTTGCACAGGACTTTGCATTAATGAATATGTAATAAATGTAACCCAACTCAGATTGAATGAGAATATAAAATATGAGTGTGTGTGTGTGTGTATAAATGTTTTTTTTGTATACACACTGATTTAGGATAATTTTAACCTTGAAGTCCCTATAAAGTATATAATTCTTGGGGCTAGGATGGTGGCTCAGTGGTGGAGCACTGGACTAGCATGTGTAAGGCACTGGGTTCAATTCTCATTACCACATAAAAATAAATAAATAAAGGTGTTGTGTCCATCTACAGCTAAAAAATTGATAATATTTTAAAAAAAGTATATTGTTCTTAAAAAGGGGAACTTCTGGGCTACATTGTTCAATCCATCCTAACCAAGCTGGGAAGCCAGTAAAGAAGGATTTTGTTGAGAGGAGGTAACCTGGAGCACCATTCTTGTCACATTCTTCCTTGGGTGTACACATACATATTGTTCTCCATTGATTCTGTAGCTTGGCGAGGGTTCACTGCAGTCCCATTCAGAAAGCCCTGTGTAGGGACTGTCAGGAGAAAAGCATCACTGGTGTGCTCTTGCCCCCTTGTGTCCAACCATGGTAAGTGGCAAGGAAAGAAAGAAATGGAGAAGCCAGATAACTGGTTGTGTTCAGTGCACCTGGGTACAAGTGCATACTTAAGAGTCACGTGCACACCTTTGGGTAAAATTAGAGTTGTACTGTATACATTCACTGAGATGCTTTTTAAGTTCTGAGATGCAGAAAAATCTGTTGGAGATTAAATGAAACCAAGCACATATAGACAGCTTTCTCCAATCTGAAATGAGGGAATTCTACAGGTCAAAATATGTTACTCCAGGGGCTGGGACTGTATAGCTGATTGGTAGAGCACTTGCATAGCACAGGTAAGGCACTGGGTTCAATCTTTAGCACCACATAAAAAAGTAAACAAATAAAGTTATAATTTTTTTTTAAAATATGTTACTCCAAATAGTGACACAGAAGGGAAAAGGTAGATGGGGGAAGGGAAGAGCAAGAAAGAAGTTTTTTTACAAAATAAAAAGGATACTTAAGAAATATTAAATTCTCCTTTATTAATCCTGATGTAGGGAAACCAAGTGTTGTGGGGTTTTTTTGTTTTTGTTTTTGTTTTTAAAGACATTTATTTTTGCTAAGCAGATTGGCACATGCCTGTAATCCCAGCAACTTGGGAGGCCGAGGAAGGAGGAGCACAATTGTGTTCAAAGCCAGCCTCAGCAACTTAGTGAGACCATGTCTCAAAATAAAATATAAAAAAGGCTGGGAATGTGGCTCAGTGGCTGAGCAAAAAAAAAGACATTTCACTGACCACTGGAGAAATTTTAATATGGACCAGGTATCAGATAATGAGAGAAATTAATGTTAATTCTGCAAAATATGAAAATGGCCTTGTAATTTCTTTCTTTTTCTTTCTTTTCTTTTTTTTTTTTTTGTCTTTTTAAGGCTTTATTTGAAAGAAGTGCATGTTGGAGTGCTTACATGTGAAATGATGTGAAAGCTGTGCTTTGCTCTTTTAAAATCTGCTTCCCTCACAGTTTACTTACTAACCCAATGGCTTTCCTCTCCTTTCTCCAGCAGATTAGTAGCAGCACATTGTCCCTAACCCAAAATCCAGGTCCAGAATCCAAAATTTGACAAGGGGACCCCCTGGGATTTGACTTACTGCTTACTTTTCCAGCACCTCTTCTTCACTTGCTCCCTTTCTTCCTCCATCTCTGTCTCTATTCCTAGTTCCTTTACCCCATTCTTCTTACCTAGAAGATGCTCCCATCTTCCCATTTTCTCTCTGTCTGGCTAAATTTTTGTATGTATATGGGATGCTAGGAATTGAACCCAGGGTCTGGCACATGCTAGGCAGGCACTCTACCACTGAGATACATCCTCAGCCCTTTTTTAGAATTTGAAATATGTTCTCACTAAGATGTCCAGGCTGTCCTTGAACTTACCATCATGCTGCTCCAGCCTGGGATTACAGGCATGTGCCTTCCTGGCTAAATCCTAATCAGAAGGCTTCCCCAGGCAGGGCTTTGCTCTCACCATGTTCTCAGTGTTTTCACACTGGCCTGTGCTTTGCTCCTGGGATTTTAACCTTTGCATTGCACCTTCCCATTTACTTTTTCCTTTTGCTGTCCTTCCCCATTTATCTGCCACTGGACTCTAAGCCCTATGGGGTCAAAGATGGTGTCCTTTCTCCCTCCCCTTTCCCCTCCAAGCTTTCCAACCAGAACAGCAGGTGAATAGGTGATCAGTAAATGTTCACTGAAGAAGTAAACACATGAATTTGTGAATGCTCACAGGATACAGTTCCTGTGACCCAAAGGGAGAAAACATAATCGTCCTGCCAGTTCTAAGTATTTATTTAGTAATGGTAGAGAGTCTCATGAAGTTGCGTTGTGATGGACTGCAATTCTTTAGTGCAAGAAAAACTGCCTTGAAAACTACCAAGAAAATGGGGGGGGGGGGTAATTCTATGAAAGGTATAGACTAGAGAGATGAAAAGAAAAATGACCTTGTGTGCTTCATATTTATTTAGATTCAACAATCTAAATCCATTGATTCCCTGTGTGAGTGTGGTGCAAAGTACATTCAAACATAATGAACACTTGCACTGTGTCTCTTTTGAGCATTAACTGTTGACTCTAAGCATTATTATCATTCAATTTTACAAAGAGAATCTGAAGCACAGAGAAGGTAGGTCTTCTTCTGTGTGACTGCACAAGGTCACACAGCTAGAAGTTGATTAGAGTCAGAGTCAAGGCCCAAACTCCATAATCTTAATGTTGATCAAACTCCTCATCAGGCATCATATTAAAAGCAGGCAGTAGACTGTGCCGAGCACATGGGAGCTGAGTTATTAGCACTGTGGTGAATTGGTGCATGCCTCCACTTACCTCCTTTGCAAGTCAGGTGTCTGTGGGGTTCAGTTGAACAAACACAGAGTGATGGTATGAGCTGAGCACTGGGTTAGAAACTGAGGAACCAGATGAATAAGACATAATCTGCCCTAACGTGCTCATACTCGATGCAACTGCTTTTTGGAGCAGATCTTTGCATTTCACAGATCACAGTCACTTCCTACTTTGGGGGACTCACAGATAAGATTCTACTCCCAAGTATTTCTGAATGTCAGCCTTGAGTTTTCTGAAACCATGAATTTGAATAGCATTGTACTATATGGAAGTTCTATCTTTAAAATTAAAATATAATAATAATGAGTTTACATGAGAGAACGCAGACCAGGTACTGCAGTAAACACTGTACATATGTTATCTCATTGTTTCTCACAACCAGTCTACATATGTCTCTATTTTAACTTCATGCATGAGGAAACCAAGACTGAGGGTATTCAGTAACTTGTCCTGGAGTGCACAGATTGTAAGGGGCAGGACCCAACATAAGGATCTATGCTAAAGCACATAATTAAAGATTCACAGTACTCTCAAAAACCTGATTTAAAAAAAAAGAACTTGCTTCTCTATAACAAATGAGCCATAAGCAAAAAGAAATATTTTAGTAAAACTCAACAGTATAAAATAAACTGTGGCTTTGAAATTTTTTCAAGAAGAAGGCATATGTATGTACAAAGAACGTGGAGAGTATCTTTCCAGCCTATAGGGAAAGAAACACCACCAAAGGGTGCTGAACATGATGTCTGTCTGTAAACACTAAGGCTCTACTATGCTGAAGTGCTCTGTGTACCACATAATGTACCTGGTGGAGAAGAACACGAGTAAATGCAGCACTTGATGAATAGTGCTTTACGTGGATTTTCTTTCTTTAACCTTCAGATTACTATTAACCCACTATATAGATAAGAAACTTGAAACAGAGAGGTCAGGTTAGCTTTTAACACCACACAGACATGAAAAACTAGAAAGCTAGGGTAGTCTCCCTGCAGAGTCCACACACTTAACCATTAAGCCCAGTTGCCTTTCTAACACATCAGCTGTTGGTTAACTTGATAGAGACCCATTATAATAAACCATATATGTGGTACGCTCACACTGTATTAGTCATAGTTTAAAATCATTCAGGGTATTTTTCAATGCTATCATCAATACCATATAACATAATTATATGTTCTGAACACTAGGAAGATAAGTCCTTTATATGTGATTTATTAGAAATGCCTCCACTTAAAAATAATTCTTTATCACTTTGCTCTAATCAGTTATTCCTACTAAAAAATCACTATTACTTATTATCTATCCTTCCTCCAACCTGGATATAGTGTCCTTTCTGCTGGGGATTTCCTTTGCAAATTTCCCCCAGGTGTCTTTCACTCTTGCTTTAGACCTCAGTGCAATTGCCTCTTCCAGGAGAGCCTCCCAAGGTGTCCTCCAGTGGGAGCAAAAGCCTGGTTGGTCTTGTTCACCACTGCAGCCCTAGCACTAAGCATAGTGCCTGACGAGAGACAGATGTCAGTGAAGGCATTTGTTGAATTAAATATGCATGGAAGACTCTAGCCTTATATCTGAACCAAGAGAAAAGAAAATGCATTAAGTTTTCACTAGAGTTCTCAGCCTGCTAAGATCTAAAGTGGGGAGACTGAGGAATGAGGAACCCATTAACAGCCTGCAAGGTGCATGCCAGATCACTCAGTCATGTCAGATGTTTTGTCTTATTAATCCCTAGTGGATCCAGCAGATTGAAGGAGCAGAGGCTGCCCTACACCAGAAAATGATGGAATTGGAAAGTGACATGGTGAGTGCAAAGACAAAGTACCATGAAAATTAGCAAACATTTTCAAGGCAAATGGAAAATGAAAGTTGCCTCTTTGGTTTGATCCAGCACTAATGGAAGTTTGTAATTTCCCTGTTTGCATACAAACTGTGGAATAAAATTTGAGAAGTATTCAACAATTTCAAGTTATATTCTCCAAAAAGAGCATTTTACGTATTTTGGTGATATTTACAAAACTAAAGCTGCAGAAAATTGAATAAGGTGTTTTCTTTTTTAGGCTAATTTCTTTGCTGCATAGAATTATCAAGTAAAAATTATAGAAATGGTGACTGAAAGTCTGATGGCTTAAATTCCCAAGCCACCTCACGTCTGTTTGGATGATTATTATTAAAAAAAAATAGAAATCAACAAGTGTTGGAAAAAATTATGGAGAAATCAGATTCCTTATACACTATTGGGAAAGGTGCAGCCCCTCTGGAAAACAGTATGCTGATTACCCCCAAAAATTCAAAACAGAATTATCATACAATCCAACAATATCACTTCTGGACACACACACACACGAATTAAAAGTAGGGTCTGGGAGATTTGTGCACTCATAGTCATGGTGACATTATTAACAATAGTCAAAAGGTGGAAGTTATCAAAATGTCCATTGATAGGTGACTGGATAACAAAATATGGCATATTTCTAATATAAGTTAGCCTTAAAAGGGAAGAAAATCTAACATAAGCTACAGTGTAGATGAACTTTGATGGCACTGTGTTCAGTGAAATCAACTAGTCACAAAAAGACAAGTACTGTATAATCCCACTCATGTGAGTAACTAGAGTAGTCAAATACATAGAAAGAATGAAGTTCAAATTATTTTAGGTGCATGTACAAATATGTGACCATGAATCCTACTATTATGTCTAGTCATCATGCACCAATTAAAAAATACGTAAAAATAACAAAATCACTATTTGATTTGTAAAGAGAGAAAGAGAGAGAGAGAGAGAGAGAGAGAGAGAGAGATTGATTGTTGTTACCAAAGATTGAGAGGAAGAAAAAATAGAAAGGTATTTAATGAGACTAGTTTCAGTTTTGCAAGATAAAAAATGTTTGCACATTAGTTGCATAACAATATGAATATGCTTCTCAACACTGAACTGAACATTTAAAAATGGTTACAGTGGTAAATTTTATGTGTAGTTCAGCATGATGTTAAAAATTAAATTCCCAAGTGTCAGAATTGGTTATTATTAACCTACAGCGATGTATAAAATTTTATGACAGAATTCATAAATATTCTCATTATCATTAAAAAAGCATACAGTATATTCCTATCAGAGAATAAAAACAACTTGTATTTTTATAGCATATGAATAATTTACTTATGCTCTATGTAAAGTTACCAAAAGGAATAGACTCTATAGTCAAAACATATAACAAGAAATGTCTATGTTCAAAATTACCCTTGAAAGCTCTTGAAATGCACAGTTACTAATGAAGCAATCAGCCTGTATCAGCTGGCTATAGGCAGTGGAACCCAGGGGTGATAAGAATGTCAACAGCAAAATTGCTTCATGTTGTCTCAAAGTCCTGCACCACTGAGGCTTCCCCAGGACAGGAAAAGGTCCTTATCCCTTCAATTAAGCACCCAAATAAATAATTGACTTTCACTTGTGACTATGCTGTACACAAAGATGCAGTTTTAAATCCTAATGGCCCAATGTCCAGGATATGAGAAGCCCACAGGAACTGGGAGCAAGGGAGGAAGCATCAATGCTGTCTCCAGCTCACAGCAGGTCTGAGACAAGGGCAGACACCTGCTCATCAAGGGGCAGCATATGCACAACTGCCCACCCCACCACAATGTTATTTGTGTCTGAGTTTGCTAATTGTACACAGACAAATTTCAGTAAGTTAAATTTGTTTATTATACAAATTTCACAATATTCTTAAGAACATATACTATCACGATATAGAGTTGGTCCCTTTGTGCTCATAGGACTCTGGTTCCAGGACCCCCTGCCAATACAAAATTCACAGATGGACAAGTCGCTTATATAAAATGGCACGGTATTTGCATATAGCTGGCACACATCATCTTATATCCTTGACCTCATGTCTAGATTATCTGTTATACCTAATACAATGTAAATGCTGCATAGTAGTTTTTATACTGTATTTTTATAGGAAATAATAAGAGAAACAGTTTCTACGTGTACAGATGTACAATTTTTCGAGTAGATTCACTCTGCATTTGGTTGAATCTGGATGCAGACCTGACCATATTTACACAAATGGACTTATTATTTAACACATAGCTTGTCAAAATGTGTGCTTAATCACATTGTCTCCAATAAAAATCTTGGAGCATTCCATGTGGATTTTTCATTATGTCTTTTATACCTCAGTCCTATTGATTTTCATATTCCCTGTGTGAGACTGTGAACATCAAACTCTTTCCCTAACAAAAGTCTCTGATTCTACAAATACTAGTGATTTGTTGTTTCATTGGAATTCGTGAAAACATTAATCAGTGTGATTTATATACCACTTTCTATTTAACTAAGCTGACTCTTTTTCTTTATCAATGTGGCCCTTATTATAGGAACAATTCTGCAAAATAAAAGGCTATCTGGAAGAAGAACTAGACTACAGAAAACAAGCTCTCGACCAAGCATATATGGTAAGTACACCGAGCAATGGAGCCACCCAGAGAATTTACAATTGTACGCTATGGAGTCAGGGATTCTACTTAATTGGTCATGCTGTGTATTTGAGCAGACCACAATGTACAGGCCATATACTTACTGGTTTCTGGTTCTAATTTTAGAACAAGAACACCCTCACTCTTTTCTTTTATAGTGTTCTTAAAATGTTAGATAAGTATACTTTATTTTTTAAAAAAATAAATTTAGGCTGTTAAATAACATTGAGACACATTGGATGGCAGTTTAGATGAAAAAGAAATTTTATTTAAGCAACCTAGACATTTGGGAGTCTAATCTAGTGGTAGAGTAATAATGTTTTTAATGTTTGTAATGCAGATTTTTAATTAATTTATTTCTTATAATTACCTTGTAAGACATGGATATCACTATTGCTATGTTACATATAAGGAAAGTCTTGAGAGTAAAACAGAACTTTCCTAGGCCAGTCAGTGGGTATTGTATAGGTCTGGCTTTAGATTCTGTGGTCTTAGCTCTGGTCTTAGCTACCCTAAACCAGGCACAGCAATAAGGCTATGTCGGTAAGTGGACTCTGCCTTTTCCTCCCCCACAGATATGCTAATAGAGACTCATGTTTGATTTCTTCTCCATCAATTCATATTGCAGGATTGCTAATATTGGACTCCAACTCCTATTTCCTTTCTCCTTGTGCCCTGCCCCCATTAATTCATAGTAATAAATCAAAAGAAAAAGAACAAACCAGAGGAATATTTCAAGAAGCTGCTAACAGAGGTTTTTATAATGCTTTCCTGGAAGCAGACTGAGTTACTTTGGGGGAAGAGTGATACACTTAGCCCCTTATTATAACAAAGATGAATTAGTCTTCCCTCTCCAAAATGAATAAGAGACTCTGGCATTGTTTGAAAGGAAAAGAAGAGAATGACAATTGGTTACTACTTAGAGAACAAAGAAGCAAGTGATTTTTTCCCCTCCCTTCCTACCCTTTCACCCTTGTCTCTTTTTACCTATACATACTAAAATTGAGCTGGGTATGTATGTGATTCCCAAAAGTATTGAGTCCTCATTTAGAAAACCATATTTAACTTTTCAAAGACAGATATGCTTAGTCAAGGCTAAGAGCTAGGAAAATATCCCCATCACGACATGCTCAGTTACTCCTGTCAAAAATCATAGGAGGCACAATTATAGATTTTGGGCAACTGTATTTGAAGAGTATAAAAATACAAGTACAAACCCTGAGCCGTAAGAGACAGTAGAATCTTTTTATCACTCAAAGCAAGCATTCACAGAGAAATGTTAGCACTAGAGCTACCATAAATCTCAGTGTATTATAAACAGACCAATTCCAAGAATCTAAGCCATATTTGAATCATATTCCCCAATTTTTGTTTCAAGGAAAAAAAAAAACATGGAGACCATCAAGCCATCTTCAAGTACAGAGAATTGTTGTGTGAAAGAAAGGCAGCATTTTGTGGATGAAACATATCTTCAATTTCAAGTATTTTGTTCCAACTTAGATCACTTAATTCTAAAAGAATGGCCACCATGATAGATGCTTTTAAATTTCTGAAGGGCTTTTAAATGAGAGAATAAACCTATTCTCAGTTATACTTGAGAATAGAGGGAGGTATGGCTATTTTAACAAAGGGCTTTCTAAAAATGAAAAGTATATGAAATGGTCAGGATCCCAAGACAGAGAATGAATGAATCTCTGCCACTAGAACAGTTCACAGGTGGTCTTCCATCATAGGAGGAATATCCAGAAGGGTAGTTGGGCTGGAGAAACTTTGAAATGTCTTCTATCACCAGGATCCAGGGAGACTCAGGCACCCCTCCATGTGCATATCCACCCACACCTGTACATTCCCACACCACACATAAATGCTCCATTCCAAAGTTAGACCTTTCTAATTCTATTTGCCAGAGAATCCAGGAACTAGAAGCTACTTTGTACAATGCTCTGCAGCAAGAAACTGTTATCAAGTTTGGTGAATTATTAAGTGAAAAACAGCAAGAGGAGCTGAGGACGGCAGTAGAAAAGTTACGGCGGCAAATGCTGAGGAAGAGCAGAGAGTATGACTGTCAGATTCTCCAGGAGAGAATGGAACTCTTACAACAAGCCCACCAGGTGAGGACCAAGTCCCTACATCCGTGTAGGCCAGTACTAAGCAAGTGGGACTTAGTATGAAGCACATGGTGTTGAGTATAAGTACGGAGAAGCTCAGGAGATTTTTAGACACTAAAATAAATATTATTTTCTACCGTCACTCAATACAGGATGGCAGTTTGTAATAATTCTGTCTTCAGAAAATTGGTATTTCAGAAGCACTGCATACTGCTATCATTTTAGAATTACTTTGTCATGAAATATCCTTTGAATCTCTTGGAGCAGAAAGAACACTGTCTCTCCAGGGCAGAAATACTGCTTTTCTCCTATTACTTATCCTAGTCCATAACTGAGCCTAAAAAATAATCTAATCAGGGTGAAAAAGAACAGGGCTTCTCTTTATTCCCAGAACAAACAGCAGCAACAACAAAACCTGGAAGCTATCTATACTAACTGACATTTGATGTATGTCAGGAACTAAACCAAAGGATTTACTTAAACCATTTTATTTAATCTTCACAATAGCCCACAAGGTAAGTATTCTTATTATCCCAATTTGGAGACAAAAATCACACAGATAGCAATTTGCCCAAGATCAAACAGAGAGTAACAGAGCTAGGATTACAATCCAGGTCTGCCTGATCCCAAGACCGGTGTGTATAACCGTTGTTCAGTACTGCACTATGTAGTTTAAATCATCTATGGCTCATATTCATCTAAACCAGCAAGACTTAAAATAGGACCTGGTGTGGTGGTACACACCTGTAATCCCAACAGTGTGGCAGAGGCTGGACTATCACAAGTTCAAGGCCAGCCCTGGAAATTTTAGAAAGATCCTACCTCAAAGTAAAAAAAAAAAAAAAAAATCAAAAAGGACTGAGGATCTAACTTAGTGGTAAAGTGCCCCTGGGTTCAATCCCCAGACCAATCAATCAATCAATCAATACTCAAAATAGGCATCCTGGACTAATTTCCAACTAAAATTCTTAACTCTAATTCTTCATTCATGTTTTATCTTGACATATGAGGGATAAGGCCCTGGCCAAAAAAGCAGATTCAATAAGAATTCCAGAATTGAAAATGCCAGGCTATAGTATTCAGTATTGTAACAAGAAACTGGTCTAAAAGCCAGATAGTATATATAGAAACTGAAATCATGTGGCTATCAGTGATGGAGGTAAGTGAAAAAAGAATTGAGGTTATAATATGGCACCAATAAGAACAGTTGGGAACTTGAAATTGGCAGTCTTCAGAAGCAGCCAGGATCTTTGCAGGTCTTTAGAAGCTATTTACCCAAGTTAGCAAGGAAGTCTGAAGTACTTTGTCCCAGAGACAAACACATGTGTGGTTCTATTGACTCACTGTCAGAGCCCATCACAAAGGCCTGGATTTTGACCCATGTAAATTCTAAAGCCTTTAATAATGCGACTCTTTGGCACCCTTTGCGTTACTCCATGCATTCATTTTTTTTCTATCAAGGGCAAAAATGACATTTAATTGATTTCAGCAAATTGAGAGTTATGTTTTAGAACCACAGAAATGTTTATTTTTGAATGAACTAGTTGATATCTAAATTTATGATTTTAAAAAAAGACAGTTTTCCCATTTGAGTCTCTCTCCTCAACCAGTTAGCTGAGGTACTTCACTCCTGAAAGAACAGCATTTATTTAATTGACCCAGCCCGAGCTAATAGGCATATTATATTTGTTAGCTTCAGAGAGTTCCATTGACATTTTCCATTTCCCCAGCAGTTGTTCATTAGGACATGCCTTTTCCAGTTATTTCTGACTTTTCTTTCCTTTTAAATAGTAGCTTATTTCTGGGAGTTACTTCAGAAAATATTGGTCAGGATTTGTCATATATAATTATGTAATACAGTCTAAATGTGGAGCATATCACTAACCATTTGTTAGACATATCTGCTTAAATGTTTCAGAGTAAATTCAAATATGCATCCTTGTTCTTATAGCCTTCCCTCTTTTCTCCCCATATGCCTCTGCTGGTCAGCAGAATGACTTTATCTCAAATCACCTCTGCTGGAAACATTCTGTCCTTTGCCTCCAACAATTAAAGAACCCCTGCATCCAGCTGGCATTCCCCACCAAATGTTTTTGAGGCTGGTCCATTTTGTTCACACCTGTTACTATAGGCATGTTCAGGACCTTCAATTACTGCTACAGCTTTCAGATGTTCCAAATGTTTCCTGAAGTAACCCAGTTCTATCATCTCTGCATTGATTCAAACATTTAAATGTATTTCCTAATGCCAAATACTGTGCATGATAGAGAATTCACCGTAGATCCTGCCTTTACAAAATTTAGGAGACAGTTATGACATTACTTGATAAGTGGCATTTTTAAAAGCACCTGCAGGTGCCATGGGGACCTTGTTATGGGAAGGCTTCCTGCTGTCGTCTTTTCAGTCTACTGTGCATAACACCACAGGTTCTTTTTTGGCTCAGGGATTGAACCCAGGGGCATTTAACCACTGAGCCACCTTCCCAGCCCTTTTTATTTTTTATTTTATGACAGGGTCTTACTAATTTTCTTAGGCCTTTGCTAAGTTGCTGAGGCTGACTTTGAACTTGTAATCCTCCTCCTTGGCTCCCTGACCCCACCCTGCCGTGTCACAGGCATGCACCACCACACCCAGCTCCACCACAGGTTCTTTTTTATTTTTATTTATTTTTTTTTAATTTTTTATTGTGGGTTGTTCAAAACATTACAAATTCCTTCACATATCATATTCCACACTTTGATTCAAGTGGGTTATGAACTCCCACCTTCACCCCATACACAGATTGCAGAATCACATCAGTTACACATCCATTGATTTACAAATTGCCATACTAGTGTCTGTTGTGCTCCGCTGCCTTTCCCATCCTCCACCCTCCCCCTTCCCCACCTCTCCCCTCCCCTCCCCTCCTCTCTCTCTACCCCCTCCACTGTATAACCCTGAGGGTCTCCTTCCATTACCGTGCAATTTCCCTTCTCTCTCCCTTTCCCTCCCACCTCTCATCCCTGTTAAATGTTAATCTTCTTCTCCTGCTCTTCGTCCCTACTCTGATCTTAGTTACTCTCCTTATATCAAAGAAGACATTTGGCATTTGTTTTTTAGGGATTGGCTAGCTTCACTTAGCATAATCTGCTCTAATGCCATCAATTTCCCTGTAAATTCTATGATTTTGTCATTTTTTAATGCAGAGTAATACTCCATTGTGTATAAATGCCACATTTTTTTTATCCATTCATCTATTGAAGGGCATCTAGGTTGGTTCCACAGTCTTGCTATTGTGAACTGTGCTGCTATGAACATCGATGTAGCAGTGTCCCTGTAGCATGCTCTTTTTAGGTCTTTAGGGAATAGACCAAGAAGGGGAATAGCTGGGTCAAATGGTGGCTCCATTCCCAGCTTTCCAAGAAATCTCCATACTGCTTTCCAAATTGGCTGCACCAATCTGCAGTCCCACCAGCAATGTACAAATGTACCCTTTTCCCCACATCCTCGCCAGCACTTGTTGTTGTTTGACTTCCTAATGGCTGCCAATCTTACTGGAGTGAGATGGTATCTTAGGGTGGTTTTGATTTGCATTTCTCTGACAGCTAGAGATGGTGAGCATTTTTTCATGTACTTGTTGATTGACTGTATGTCCTCCTCTGAGAAGTGTCTGTTCAGGTCCTTGGCCCATTTGTTGATTGGGTTGTTTTTTCTCTTATTGTCTAATTTTTTGAGTTCTTTGTATACTCTGGATATTAGGGCTCTATCTGAAGTGTGAGGAGTAAAGATTTGTTCCCAGGGTGTAGGCTCCCTATTTACCTCTCTTATTGTTTCTTTTGCTGAGAAAAAACTTTTTAGTTTGAGTAAGTCCCATTTGTTGATTCTAGTTATTAACTTTTGTGCTATGGGTGTCCTATTGAGGAATTTGGAGCCCGACACCACCGACTGTAGATCGTAGCCAACTTTTTCTTCTATCAGACGGCGCATCTCTGATTTGATATCAAGCTCCTTGATCCATTTTGAATTCACTTTTGTGCATGGCGAGAGAAAGGGATTCAGTTTCATTTTGTTGCATATGGATTTCCAGTTTTCCCAGCACCATTTGTTGAAGATGCTATCCTTCCTCCATTGCATGCTTTTAGCCCCTTTATCAAATATAAGATAGTTGTAGTTTTGTGGATTGGTTTCCGTGTCCTCTATTCTGTACCATTGGTCCACCTGCCTGTTTTGGTACCAGTACCATGCTGTTTTTGTTACTATTGCTCTGTAGTATAGTTTGAAGTCTGGTATCGCTATACCGCCTGATTCACACTTCTTGCTTAGCATTGTTTTTGCTATTCTGGGTCTTTTATTTTTCCATATGAATTTCATGATTGCTTTCTCTATTTCTACAAGAAATGCCGTTGGGATTTTGATTGGCATTGCATTAAACCTATAGAGAACTTTTGGTAATATCGCCATTTTGATGATGTTAGTTCTGCCTATCCATGAACAGGGTATATTTTTCCATCTTCTAAGATCTTCTTCTATTTCTCTCTTTAGGGTTCTGTAGTTTTCATTGTATAAGTCTTTCACCTCTTTTGTTAGGTTGATTCCCAAGTATTTTATTTTTTTTGAAGATATTTTGAATGGAGTGGTTGTCCTCATTTCCATTTCAGAGGATTTGTCACTGATATACAGGAATGCCTTTGATTTATGCATGTTGATTTTAAATCCTGCCACTTTGCTGAATTCATTTATTAGCTCTAATAGTTTCTTTGTAGAGCCTTTTGGGTCTGCTAGGTATAGAATCATATCATCTGCAAATAGTGATAATTTAAGTTCTTCTTTTCCTATTTTTATGCCTTTAATTTCTTTCGTCTGTCTAATTGCTCTGGCCAGTGTTTCAAGAACTATGTTGAAGAGAAGTGGAGAGAGAGGGCATCCCTGTCTTGTTCCAGATTTTAGAGGGAATGCCTTCAGTTTTTCTCCATTCAGAATGATGCTAGCCTGAGGCTTAGCATAGATTGCTTTTACAATATTGA